GCTTATTAGAAAAGAGGGCATCCTTTGATAAAAGAAAGTGGAAAAAATACTGTAAAGTGCTGGGAAAGGGCATTAATTTAGCCAAGTTACTTCTCATGTTTAAGGGCAAAAACACAGCGAAAAGTAAATCGTCTTCACTGGGTGTAACTTTGGATTCAACACTGGCCACCTTGTGCATACTTAGTTGGGGGATGGAATATATGTTTGAGTGAGTAGTCAGGACCTACATCATCGGGCTGGCTATTGTAGGTAGGCTTACATGTACTCCGTTGGATTCAACTTTGGATTCAAATATTACTGACAACCTAGAGAACAACGATAGAGCGAACATCGCAAATGAAATTTAGATTAGATACTTACTGAAGCTTACTAGAACAGGACTGTCATAGGCTGTCAACATATCCTCAAAATTCAAATCTGAAGTGTTACTCAGCAACCGCTAATATCGTGATGAACTTAATATATTTATTTCAATATAATGATAAATGTATTACAAAATTGGTTAGTTGTTGATATACGGAAAACTTAATTGTGCATAAAGAAAAATACGTGGCGTTAATTAACTTTCCGGAACGAGGCGTGTTTGAGTTCCCCTTCTAGTCAGCGATTCAAAATATGAGTGATTTAATCCAAGGTCTGTATACAAACTAATTGAGCAATTATGATATCAGTGTGGTTTATACATATAGACAGCAAGCACAGCAGAGACCTATCATCATGACAGCTAATAGATTAGGACGAGATATGTTTGTGGGAGTTTATTTGTGAACGATAACTGATGTTTCATGCCCTGAGAGTACAAAAAACGGAGAATCAAGAAAAAGTTCATTTAAACAACAACTTTGCAACCAATCATATTAATTGTACAAATTGTGCAAAATTAAGGAAAACATGTCTGTTTCGAACTTCAATAAACGCTTTCATTTATAACGCACTAGTCTTTTAAGTACGGCAATGCTTGTCTATCGTGACAGACCGGAATTTGATCTAGTAATATAGTGCACCATGTTCAGAATTGAAGTATTTGGTATGACATCGGAACTTGGAACTAATGATAAATGTATCCTTATTTCCTACCTCAAGTATTGGAAAACATTGAAGATCCTTTACAGCGTCATGTGGACGCAAAAGTAGGTTAGTTTCTGTTCTACTCTAAATTTTCCAGAACGTCAATATAAGAGAATCATCTCTTCGGAGACATTCTTTTAAGTTTTTATGAGCACTTTCGACATGATTGTTTGTGTGGTTGTTTACCATCTACTGCACGGACCAGATTGTCAACGGAAATATTTCGACCTGAAGGATAAATTTATTCGAAATAAGGCATACGTAGATGACCGACGTCGTTTTCGTTGTCTGGGTTACGGTGGTGAGCTAGAAGTAGTATGCTCTTCGGAAGAATGCTGATTACTATCATCACCTACATCTTGAAGACAAGCATCTGACTCTGACAGGCTGCATTTGAGTCCATAAGTTCAGACATATTTGACGAAAACATACTTTACAGTTGGGTCATCATTGTCGTTTTTACATACTGAAATAACGTACTTAGTATGCGTATACTGCAAAAGTAATTATCAGTCACAAAGGTAGTATTTCCTTACATAAGATAATAGCAGGTATGCTGTTGCAAAACAAGCAGCTCAGAACTATGCTGAGAAAATGTCTTTCTGAGATAGGCTTCAGGTGAGCATTCCGACCAATAGTAATCCAATAACCGGTAAGGCGGACTCATATAAACAAGTAATTATGCATATGAATAGTAAAATACCTTCATTTAAGCCGGATAATGTTGTCTTAGTACATGGAAAGCTTGATTTAGTCACTGATGTAGGGGAGAATGGACTAATGAAATTTAGGTCTTTCACAAACCCACGCAATTGGTTCGAAGATGCCTTCCTTTCTGGTAATATAGGAATATTTAAGTGCTCCATAGTTAGTCATTAACACATATGAGTTTCGGTTGCAGATATTCACTGTAAATGTATTGCCATTATTTGTGTTCACTATTTAGTTATTGTTCCATCGTTACATACTTTTATGCGAATGTATTTTCTTGCATTTGTGTAGAAGTTATGACCATAAACCATTTCATTACCTCTTATGTAATATTAAGCCCTCTAACAAACAATACGTCATTATAGACTCGCCAAGCATGAAACAGCTTGTGACTGCAGACAAACACTGGATTATTGGTAGGGAACTTTGTCTCTGTCCAACAGACCTTTTTGATATGCACTAACAAAACAGTGACCAACCAGATGAAAACTGGTCAGTCTTGAAGTGTAAGGTTTTTCACGAATGCTGTAGTTTACAAACATAGAAACGATCGTTTCCTATCGATAGTCTATGGTGGGAGGGTTGAAATCACCACATACAATTTTGTAAGTGAAGTCAAGCGAGGCAGCTTGAACAAATGACTCACTTATAATAGTGTCAGTTGAACTAGGAGTTTTAGGAGCTCGATATATGCATCCGATTATCATTTTACATTCATGTGTGCGCAGTAAGCTATATCGAGTCAGGAAGTTTGCTGAAGACGTGATCGCTATAGATTTCCGCTCTCAATTTTTTTGATACATGAACAAGACAACCACCACCCTTCTTGGTGCCTCGATCGCAGCGGAAGAGCTCATAGATGTCTATTCGTAGATGTGTGCCCGTGGTATCGGAGGACAGCCGACTTCCCATTATCAAAACAAGGAGGTGTTGTTTAAAAGTAATAGGGTGAGCAGGTGAGTCATCTTACTTTGTACAGATCGAGCGTTGGTTAACATAAGTGTGAGGTACGTTGAGTGTTTGTCCAGTAGAAGGGTATGATGTAAAGCCAGTGGATTGTCTGTTTTGCCATGCGAAAAGGAATAATTGGTAATGTAGACTCCATATTGATGAGCGCTTCGTTTATTATCAATAGGGTTGATGCGAGAAATATAGTTAGAGGTTAATTTGGTGAAAGAAGTATGTTTAAGAGTGGTAGGTAAAGTTGGATGGTTAGGTAATGTCTTCAGAGAGTGATCAGGAGGTTCAGTTAAGGAGATTTTAAGACTAGAGACAGTTATCGACGTTGAGAAAGATGTGCCACTCCCCATTAGGTCGGAGTATATAGATGGTCTCGAAATAGTGGGATTGTCGCCCTCAACATTCGTGGACTCCACAGCAGCACCGTTGAAAGGGGGAGAGATAGAAAAGGATGAGGTGGTGTATATGTCGGATTAGGGGGGATTAAAGAGTTCCATAAGGTGGCTTGACTTAGATAGTATCTAGAATCAGTAGGTGGGTTTCCCAAGTAGGCCAACGTTATGGCCTCCTTGTGTGTGGTGGGCAATTTTAGTCCTATTATGGGTAGTTGGGGAGGTTGTATGTTTCTGGTAAGGAATGAAGGATTGCCTGTTATAGTTGCCAAGAGAAGTGTTTCTGCTGTGTGTAGTTGTGCGCTGGTTCATGGAGCATACAAGATTCACACTATGCGACTTACGGGCATCACGTATGGGTGTGGTTCTTGTCGAGTGTCGTTTCACATTAGGATGAGTGGGTACTGCCAGTTCATTGTGTTTGTTGTAGGGCATTCTACTGCCATGAAAAGGTGCATGTTTTGGTTTAAGAGTGCTGCAGTACTGATGGGTTTTTACAGAAAGTTTAGTATTATTTCGTACAGCGGTGCCTGAGCGTCTGTAGCTGTCAGTGCAATTCCTGGGAGGATCATTTTTAGGTTTTATATCGGGGCAGCTAAGGCAATAGTGTGGCACTGTTGGGGCATAAGTGGATTGACATTTTGTGTTAGCTGAGTGTTTGGGCTGAGGATAAGTGGTTGCAGCTGCTTTATTTGGGGTCTTTTTCTGAGGACTAATAGCAGCATCCGACGTGCCTCCGTTTTTTGAGAGGGATAGTGTATGGTGTTTTAGGATTTGTGCAGTGACAAACGCTGTAACTAACTGCTGGGTTAATTATTTTGTGTTCCATTGTAGATTGAACGCTGGACAGCAGTCCTGTCATGGATGACTCTAATCTTTTTAAATGTTGGTATACGCCTCAGCAATGACTGAATATTGAGGTGATTAGCTTCAAAGTTACTACCAAACTGAAATAGAATGTGACAGGAGGCTTTAGTGTGTGCTTGATGCAATCTTCTTCTTACACACCAAGATTGCGACAATCCACATTCTTTTATTAGAGTTTTTTTAGCAATCTCTATCAGGTATATTATATACAATGACATTCTGCATACACTGATGTCTTTTCAGCACTTCAGATGATATGTGGTCAATTAATTTTTCAGTGTTTTTTATAATTTCAAGATTGGGATTTTCTGGAACATTGATTAAATATTTGTACGGTAATAAGCCTTGGATTGTTTGGGTGGGGCTAAGTTTTGTTTGGCTGCTTTTAAATCTACCAGTGGTGATATTATGGGAATTTATATCAAAGTTTTTAAGGTCGATATGGTTACATACAGACCTCTTGCAAGTGTCTGCCGGGTGGTCACTTTGTGCATACTTAGTTGGGGGATGGAGTATATGTCTGGGTGAGTAGTCAGGATCTACATCGTCGGGCTGGTTATTGTGGGTAGGCTTACATGTACTCCGTGGGTTGCTACTCAGGATGGCTTATTGTAAAATTGTAGGGTGTTTAATTAGTGATATAGACAGTGTGAAAACTAGCATAATTAATGCATGACGGTGAGTCCCAAAATTAAGTGTCAAGTTGATAGAACCCTATCAGTGACGAATTATTTATCGCTAATAAATGTTAAATTAAAGGGAAAAACTAACAGGAAAATAAAATAATACCACGTGAAAAGTTACAACCTTCAAAACCACGCGCAGAACTGCTTAATTCAACTTCTGTTTAATAAAGTAATAATAATATATATTTCTGCATGAACAGTTACACGCCATTTTTGACAGGCATGATCTAAAAATTGCAACATTTGTCGGCGCACAGAATGCTTTCCAACTTCTGTAAGCCAACAAAACCAATTTGATCATTTGTTCATATCACAGATGGCGATGTTAACGCGGTTAATGGGTGATGATCCTAAGAAGAAGTGCCGGTATTACAGCTGCATACGAAGTAACATATATACATATATTAAACGTCAGGTGCATTAACCAGTCGGTTTTCGTCATTATCTGTCAATGAAAAAGGTGATGATGTCACAGGTAGCTATTTATTTTGGGGATTTATTTACCGCTACAATGGCTTCGCGAAACTGTACGACATCGCTACACAAGTTTATTTTCACGACGTCAGAGATAAATTAATAAAACATGATCGACGGAAACAAGAACAGGTATGTAGTAATTCAAAGTGATAACTATTCTCTACTGCTTTATATGTACAGTCTTCAGTGTTAACGAAAATAAGGGTAAATGAAACTTCAAGTAGCTGGTCGTGCGAAAGCATTTTATTCAGATATCGTTGTAACTTTTTTGTTCTTTACAATTCAGGATTCACAAGGAGATTAGTTTTATTTTCAATAGTCGAACAGGAGTTACGAAAAGAAATAATCTGTGAAATATTTATCATTTTTACCCAAGTTCTAAATTAACATTTTTTATACTTGCGCTTACTTTCTTACTTGCACGGGGAACTCTTTGACCAAGTGTCGAGAGATCCTGTTAGATTTTAAATGCACATGCTTTATTGATAATATATCACCTGTACTTTCTTTTGCAGATCTTTTCAAATTAAAAAGGACTTGTCAATTAAAATCACAATACATAACGATTGATGCTCTAGCATCTGCCAACTACTCATAATGTTGTACAATAATACACTTTTTCTTTCCAATCAATTTCTTCAAACATATACCACTTTTTCGGTGGATTGCGGTTCTTATGTGGTGTGTTGGGGGAATAAAGGCGAACACGGGAGACGCTTGGGATTATGCCAAAGTTATTTTAAAAGTGGAAGCGAAATTAGAGAAAAGTAGACAATTTGGAGATATTTCAGTCTTCGACCTATATTAATCCGTTCAGTTTGTAATACTTTGGAAGTCCAATCTCGTTTTGAATATATCAACGGAAGGTGCTGATATTACGTGTTCCGGTAGAGAATTCCGGTAATTCACTACTCGCTGCGAGAAACGAAACTCCAGACATAAACGGTTTGATCTCGGTTTCCGAACTTTCTTCGAATGTCCTCTCAAATGGTCGGTTCTAGACGGAAGCAAAAGATAAGACATGTTAATACCAAGGTCATCGTTCAGTATACGATAAGCCAATCTTTGGTCACACCGGTAAGATAGCGGAAATAAGTTGAGTTGTCTCAGTTTGTCTTCATAAGATAGGTCAGAAAGACCCCGTACCATCTTCGTACCTCGTCGTTGGACTCTTTCTAGCATATCTGCTTCATACTTGAAACAAGGACGCGCTGCTTGAATCCCGTATTCTAAATGTGGTCGCACATAAATCGGGTATAATAATCTGAACATTTCATCATTTAAGTACTGGAAAGACCTGCGAATAGACCTTAATGCCTTATAGCCTTTTGCAGCAGCAGCCCTACAGTGCCTAGTGGTTTTGAGGTCATTGCTTAATATGACTCCTAAATCTTTATAGTTTCTTACCTTGGGTAACACGAATCCATATATTTCATAGTGATACGACTCATCATAGTTATTTAATTGCATCACTACACTATTATTAGGATTTACTTCTAGTGATCACCTGTCTAACCATGCCACCAATGAGCTAAAATCATCCCGTAGTACCATACTACCCGACATACTGTGTATGGGTCTCCAAAATCTTTATGTCATCAGCGAAGAGTAGAACGGATGATTTTGCTATAGTTGGTAATTCATTTACATAAAGTAAAAAAAGAGAAGAGGACCGAGGATTGTACCTTGGGGAACTCCACTTATTACAGGTGCCCACGAAGAGAGAGCCCCATTAACACTTACTCTTTGTCTCCTGTCATAGAGAAAGTTACTTTTCCAATCTACGGCTATATAATGGAATCCAAAACTTTCCAGTTTGAATTTAAGACCAGAATTGGAGACCTTATCGAAGGCCTTAATTAGGTCAATGAACATCACATCACAACCGTTTAGGGCTATATCTAGAATCCCTAACCAAGTGTTTTTTATATATTCGGGTAGTCTTACTTATTAAAACTTTACAGGCATTCCTAATATTACAATAACTGGACCCGTATTGTTCCAAGCCAGTAGAGATTAACCTATTCCAGTGCTTCCTCCTTCTTCTAAGTCTTCTGACTGGTTTAGTTATTCGTGGTGGAATGTTATTCGGTCTTAGGGGTACCAGATGTGGCATGAATGAGGACGTAACTAAACTGAACTTACCTTTAAATACAAACCAATCTGTCTTGGCAGTGTATTCATAATCACAATTGATTGATCACTGGGTGGTGATCAATGTCATGCTTGTCTAGTCCTTATTAGTGCAGATCGAATGCTATCGATCATGTTGCAATGTGGCCACCAGTCTAGGTGACTCGACACTGCGGGCACTATGTATTGAGATTTGGATGGTGGTTGGAGGTAGTCAACAGGAAACCCTGGACCCGGGTTTCGTGCTACTTGGCACTCGTCAGCAAGATGTACCTGTAATCATGAGGGGACTGGTGCTCCCTGGCGGATTCGATCGCGTGTCACCCATCTTCACAGTCAGAGACGTTAACACTGAGCTATCCGAGCCGTGACTAACCTCCTGTCTCTGACTGTGAAGCTGGGTGACACGAGATCGAATCCGCCAGGGAGCACCAGCTCCCTCAAGATTACAGGTACACCTTGCTGACGAGTGCCAAGTAGCACGAAACCCGGGTCCAGGGTTTCCTGTCGACTACCTCCAACCACCATCCAAATCTCAGCGCATTCCTAAATAGCTAATATGTTAGCCTTCCATACATTTGGACGGGGTGTAATCTGATCGTATAGCATGTCCCGATGCTTCTCCGATCCTAGGATTACCTTAAGGGGTCTGCATGATCGGGGTTAAACATTGTCATCGGTCCTCTTACCCATTTTAGCCAGTTTTTTGACCTGAAATCCTTGAAAGTTATCTAGTAAGATACTACGAATATATTCTTCCAGCTTCTCTAAATCATGCGCGTGTCTAATTTTGGGACCAGGGTCGTTTAACTCTAGCAATTTGCACACAACAATATTCGATGAGATTTGATTCTCCTTCTCAGCCACGCCAGGGTGGGTTTCTCTCCTATCATCAGATTTTGGTAGTGCACCTTGAGATTCACAATGTGAGCCCAATAATGACTTGCTAACCAGCTGCGTAGTGCCTACAGCCTTTTTCTTTTTGTCTCGTTTTCTCCGTACTGTAATCCATTATTCATCCCTCAAGACACTGGGAGTATTTGGAACGGTGACGGTTCTATCCAGATCTTCAGTTTCCAATAGAGGTGCATGGTTACCAATATCATTGTCAGGTGGTACTAAACCCTTCGTTAATGTTAACGAAAATTTCATTTTTCCGTCACAGTCGGGTGTTTGAGGCGTCTCGTAACAGCATGTACTATACTGACACACTCTTCACTGTCAGTGCTCCTGTTATCAGTGCAACCGCCATCGGTTTTCTTACAGGCCAAAGCCAATGAGCTCATAGCTTCCTATATTAGCAATGTCTTATTTGCACAGCAAAATATGCAAGGCCAATGCGAGTTAGGCTTCGAGCAACTTTCGTATGCGGTGGAACTTATGCGGGAACACATCTTATGGAACCCCTTTTCGAACTCATCACACTTCATTCCTTCGTCCACAGGGAACAAACAGTTTGGTTGTCCACATTCATGAGTAGTACCAGTCATTAATGGTTGGTTGTCAGATTATGGTTTAAAACATAATATGATCACATTATGAACGCAAATGTCAGTCAGTAAGTAAAAGAGTAAAACGTGACAAATTTTAGCAAGAGTTCAAACCGTAACTAAAGTACTTTAATATAAAGTAGACCAAGAATGCTTTTGATGCAACAATTACACAAAAGCGCAAAGGAGGGGGAGTAGCTCTATTCATTAGGAATGCTATCCCATTTGCCATTAACGATAGTGTATCCCATGAGAGTGGGACGTGCGAATTAGTTAGTTGCAGCTTGAAATGCAAGGGACAAGAGCTGCTGTTTGGTTTGGTCTATCTCAGTCCAAGCTGTGAGACAGATGAGATCCTGTTAAGCAGTCTCAATACTTGGTCCCAAAGTGGTCGATGTCTAATCATAGGGGACTCCAATGCACCTATGGTAGACTCTTAAATTTGCGAACTAAATCATCAGAAAATTCTTTCGAGCAGGAACTAGTTGATGGGGTTATCACATGTGCTCTAGGGCAACATGTGAAAGAAACGACAAGGTACGATCTGGACACTGAATCATCCTTATTAGATCTTATACTGACTCACTATGAGGATGATGTTGCGAACCTCCATCATATGCCACCCCTAAGAAAAAGTGATCATGCAGTTCTAATTTTCGACTTCCATATAACTGCCAGTCACGAGCACGCATCGGTCCAGTCCAGACCCAACGTCTGGAAAGCAAACATACCAGACATCATGCATTCAACATCGTTAATAGATTGGACAATAGACTCAGAGTCCTCCATTGAAACTGCCTGAGACGCATGTCATACATAAAAGTTACCACACCTCACATGCCTTGGACTATACCACCATGGCTCAGTAGGGAGGTCCGTATCCTTCTCCGTAAGAAAAGGAAAATGTGGGATAGATTTAGGTTAATGGGGACTGATGAGTCAAAATCTCAGTATCGAAAGGCTCGGAATACTTGTGCCTCGACCCTCCGTAAGTCTAGAAAATTGTACGAAGGAAAACTTGTTAAGGAATCCATAGAATGTCCTAAACGCTTATATTCTTATATAAACCAAAGGACAAGGAGAAAAGGAAATATTCCTGCTCTATTGGGAGACAGTACTGCTTCATCATTAGTGGAGGACGACTTTGGTAAGGCTCAAGTGTTCTCGAACTACTTTAGCAACGTATATACCATGGAAACGCCTTTCCCGTCAACGTATACAGATCCCCCCACACATACACTGGATAGTGTGACCATTAAAGAACTCGATGTATTTGGTCTGCTAAATAAGCTTGACATAGGTAAATCCACGGGGCCCGATGAATTACATCCTAGGCTACTGAAGGAATTATCTAACTTCGTTGCAAGCCCTCTAAGTACATGCTTTAACCTATCCGTTAAGCAGGGTCGTTTACCAAAAGACTGGAAAAACGCCATAGTAAGTCCTGTCTTCAAAACAGGTACGAAACACAAACCTGAGAACTACCGCCCCGTTAGCCTAACTAGTGTGGTTGGTAAAATCTTAAAAGAGATTATTCGGAAGGAGCTGTTTAAGTATCTCGATAAAAACCGGATCCTTTCGGAGAAGCAGCACGGCTTCAGAATAGGTTATTCTTGTCTTACTAACTTATTAGTGGTTCGTGAAAGCTGGTGCGCTCTTAAGGACCAAAAGCTACCTGTAGACGTCGCCTTCATTGATTCCAGCAAAGCTTTTGACAAAGTTAAGGAAAGTCGGGATTGGAGGCAATTTATTGATGTGGATGAAAGACTTCTTAGTCGGGCGTCAACAAAGAGTTCGGGTGAACTCAAAGTTATCTAGCTGGGAAACTGTGCTTAGTGGAGTGCCCCAGGGTACAGTTTTGGGGCCAGTGCTATTCCTCTTGTATGTAAATGACCTTCCTTGTCTCCTATCATCATCGGTCTTGCTATATGCTGACGATGTCAAGATATGGAGAACGATACGATGTAAGAGTGATAGCTTAGAACTTCAAAATGACCTGAAGAAGTTATCTGAATGGTCTCAAACATGGCAGTTGCCGATAAATACTTCCAAGTGTGTTGGGATGCATATCGGTCATCAAGGCACGGATACATACACGATGAATAACACTGAGCTACCTGTCGTCCAGACATATGATGACTTAGGAGTTATCGTTAGTCAAAACGTAAAGACTACTGCACACTGCCGTGCAATAGCCGCCAAAGATTTTAGAACCTTATGGTCAATACGTAGAGCTTTTAGTCATGTCGACGCTGAAACGTTTTTGACTTTGTATACAGTGTTCGTTCGTCCTAAACTTGAGTACTGCATACAAGCGGCTAGCCCCTGCTTAAAAAAAGACAGTGAGCTTCTGGAAAAGATTCAGAGAACGGCGACTATGCTGATTCCCGGAATAGCGAAGCTTCCGTATGAAGTCCGACTGGCCAAGCAGAACCTTTTCCCGTTGTCATATCGCAGAACTAGAGGCGACTTGATTACAGTCTACAAATTGCTTAGTGATAAATTTGCACCTAATATGCCCTCATTTTTCTTGTCTTCCAAAACAGAGAATTTACGAGGACACTCCAAAAAAGTTCATAAGCCCAGAACAAATTACTTGTCAGCTGACTATCGACTTTCCCATCGAATCATCAACGAGTGGAATTCACTACCTCAGCACGTGGTTGAGGCTCTATCCGTCGACTCTTTCAAAAGAAAGTTGGATCAACTAAGAGACCACCATTGCCAGGACTAACATAGGCCATCAAGCCTCCTGTCCTTCCCAAACTGAAAAGCAAGGATTATCACGAGTACGAAATCAATATCTTCGAAGGTTCGTCCTATATCGTGCATCATTACGATGGTATCGTCTTCGTTACTTGAAGGATGGACGTTATCAGACATAGTGTGGCTGAATCCTGGTGTCTTGATTTGACCGCTTCTGCAAAACTTCACGAATCGTCGATGTTACGCACCAATCATCTTCCGACAGTTTGACCTTCAAGTGCTCACCAGTTTCTATCAGCGGCGGACTCCTGAAGCGTTTTGTTGTAATTTACGTAACATTCCAACTTCCTATCTCGTAAGTTCATGGTAAACTGATATTTTTATTCAAATCGTCATTTGATATTTTCCTTTTTACTTTATTGACGCCAATTTTCCACGCAGAATCCTTTTTTACCTCTGGTTACTATTAAAATTTCAGTTACAATTTGGAAATGACAGCAGGCTAAATTTGCATGCGTTAGTTCTGCAAATTAGGTTATCTCAGTTCATTCTAAGGTCCTTCTAGCCAACATCTAGCCTTATTTATTTTTAGCAAGCACTAATTTTAAGTATAAGGAGAGACATCGTCTAACAAGGCGACCCCCACCTGCACCAAACGAACGATGGACTCAAATACTTACTAACTTACTTACTTATGCCTGTTACTCCTAATGAAGCATAGGCCGCCGACCAGCATTCTCCAACCCACTCTGTCCTGGGCCTTCTTTTCTAGTTCCATCCAATTCTTGTTCATTTTTCTCATGTCTATTTCCATTTCTCGGCGTAATGTGTTCTTTGGTCTTCCTCTTTTCCTTTCACCTTGAGGATTCCATGTGGGGGCTTGTCCTGTGGCGCAGTTGGGTGCTTTCCTCAATATGTGTCCTATACCACTTCCAGCACTTCTTCCTCCACTGGGATCTTATTTGTTCTCTCCAACAGTAGGTTGTTGCTGATAGTGTCTGGCAAACGGATCCGAAGTATTTTGCGTAGACAGCTATTAATAAGCACCTGTATTGTCTGGATGATGGCTTTCGTAGTTCTCCAGGTTTCCGCCCCATACAACAGAAGATCTGTCTTGACATTTGTATTGAAAATACTGACCTTGGTGTTGGTTGACAGTTGTTTTGAGTTCCAGATGTTCTTCAGTTGTAAATATGCTGCTCTTGCTTTACCGATCCGCGCTTTCTTATCTGCATCAGATCCACTCTGTACATCAATGATGCTGCCCAAATACGTAAAGGTTTTTACATCTTCCAAATCTTCTCCGTCAATTGTGACTGGATTGGTGCATTCTGTGTTGTATCGGAGAATCCTGCTTTTCCCGTTGTGTATATTGAGACCTACTGCTGCTGAGGCTGCTGCCACACTGTTCGTCTTCTCCTGCATCTGTTGTTGCGTTTGGGATAGAAGGGCCAGATCATCTGCGAAGTCTAGATCATCCAACTGCATATTAGATGTCCATTGTATCCCGCGCTTCCCTTCAGACGTTGACGTCTTCATGATCCAGTCGATCACCAGGAGAAAGAGAAAGGGTGAGAGTAGGCAACCTTGCCTAACACCGGTCTTCACTTCGAACGACTTTGTCAACTGTCCTCCATGGACGATTTCGCAGTGTAATCCATCATATGAGTTCTGTATGATATTGACTATCTTCTGAGGCACGCCGTAGTGTCGAAGAAGTTTCCATAGTGTTGTTCTGTCCACCCTATCAAATGCGTTTTCGTTGTCAATGAAGTTAATGTAGAGTGATGAATTCCATTCAACTGATTGTTCCACAATGATCCGTAGAGTTACGATTTGGTCTGTACAGAATCTATCCTTCGGGAATCCTGCCTGTTGGTCACGAAGTTGGGTGTCTACGCAGTCCTTCATCCAGTTTAACAATACCCTGTTAAAGACTTTTCTTGGTATTGAGAGAAGAGTGATGCCCCTGTAGTTATTACAGTTGCTGAGATAGACTTTCTTTGGTATTTTGACCAGAGGTCCTTCTTTCCAGTCTTTTGGTACTTGTTCCTCATTCAAAATCTTATTGAAGGGAATGTGGAGTATCCTTGCAGTTGCCGCTACGTCTGCTTTCAGTGCCTGTGCTGGAATGTTGTTTGGTCCTGCTGCTTTGCCACTCTTGATTGTCTGATGGCCATGCTGATTTCTTAAATTGTTGGTGGCCAACATCGGTTGGGAGGTTCGTGTGTGCTGCTTCGATATTGGGTGGGTTCAGTGGGGCTGGTCGATTCAAGAGTTCTTTGAAGTGTTCTACCCACCTGTTTCGTTGTTCTTCAATGTTGGTGATTACCGTTCCTTCCTTGCTTTTCACTGGTCGCTCCGGTTTGCGGTGATTTCCATAGAGTTTCTTTGTCGTGTCATACAGTTGTCTCATGTTTCCTTCTCTTGCAGCCTTTTCCGCCGTCGTTGCTAAATCTTCCACATATTTACGTTTGTCAGTTTTGATGCTCCTCTTCACTTGCTTGTTTACTTCTGTGTATTCAGCTTGTGCCTTGGTTTTTTCTACCGTTGTTCGGCTGGTATTGATTGCTGCCGTCTTGTTCCTCCTTTCTTGAATCTTATCCAGTGTATCAACAGTGATCCATTCCTTGTGACCCAGAACCTCACGACGTGTTGAGGTGACTACCTCCTTTGTCACTGACCGGTTGCTCTCCATAGTACTTCCTCCTCCAATGAGTAGATCATGAAAGGCCTGGAACTTATTGCTGAGGACTATCTTGAATTTGTCGAGTTTGTCGGTATTTCGAAGAAAAGCCGTAATGAATTTTTGTGATATTGTCCGCCCCGTTATCCAGTACTTCTTGAGTTTCAATTTCATCTTGGCGACCAGCAAGTGATGATCTGGTGCTATATCAGCTCCTCTCTTGGTTCTCACGTCCTCTATAGTCCTCCTGAACGTTTTGTTGATGCAGATATGGTCGATTTGGTTTTGCGTGGTGTGATCCGGTGAAGTCCATGTGATTTTGTGAATGAGTTTATGTGGGAATATAGTTCCGCCTATGACTAGTTTATTGAAGGCACATAAGTTTGCAATTCTCACCATTTTCGTTCCTTTCTCCCAGTCCGTGTCGTCCCATAATGTCTGCATATCCAATATTGTTCATTCCAACCTTGGCATTTAAATCTCCTATCAGAATGGTGAGGTCCTTTGTTGGGCACTTCTCGATGATTGACTGCAGCCTATTGTAGAATTGATCTTTAGCGTCTTCATTGTAGTCGTTGGTAGGCGCATAGCATTGGATGATGTTCACTGAAATGCCCTCTTTCTTTGTTTTGAAGGAGGCTTTGATGATCCTTGGTCCATGAGATTCCCATCCTATAAGTGCATTTTGTGCTCGTTTGGACAGCATCAATGCAACTCCTTGTGTATGTGGGGCATTTTCTTCTTTATGGCCGGAGTATAACAGAAGCTCTCCTGAAGTTAGTCGTTGTTGTCCAACTTGTGTCCATTGTGTTTCACTGATCCCAAGCACCTCTAGGTTGTATCTCCTCATTTCTGCAGCAATTTGGAAGGCTCTCCCGGTGTCCCACATTGTACGAATATTCCATGCACCTAAATAAATAGTCGCTCTGGTTGTCAGAAGGGGCATCGGCCTCGTGACTTCCGAAGGAACTCGGCTTTCATCATGAGGCGTCATAGTTCTTCTAAATGAAGACCTGACACCCAGGGCACAGTTTAAAAGGTTTGAATAATTTTTTCTGGTTAGCGTTTTTTTAGCGAGTTAGTTTTCTACGGGATGGGGTCGCTAACCCCATGCCCAACCCTCCTCCTTTATCCGGGCTTGGGACTGGCAGTAGCCCCCGGAGGGACTTCAGGCGGACTCAAATAGACCATGAAATTACAAGGAAATAATTAGTAACATTTTTATGAACAAACTACCTTCTTGACTCCACCAAATTCAAACGAAGGGTTATGAACAGACTGTTGTTCACTTGTCATACTTTGTACAGCTTTATTCCAATAGTCTGGAGTCTGTCTATAATAATAAAGGTGAAGAAATACATAAATCATGACTAGTAAATCCTATATTCGGATACGGATGGATATGTTATGTGATTAAGGGTAATCAGTAAGATTTCCAGGAATTAAGTATTGCTCTAGTTGTCATTCACTAAAAAGAAAAAAATTGTGATTATAAAGTATTTCCTCTCTGAAGGGATAAGAATACATTGGAACGTATCTAAAAGCGAGTCATGAAATCAGCTTGGTGACTCAAATTCAAGTTTTATGAATAGCACCTCAATTCAATAAACCTTTACCCATTAAGGTATAGATGTTTCAGAGGTGATCTAATGACTAATAACATCCTAAATACTCATTGACAGCCTTTTAAATACCTCAGTCCCATCGTAAACAAGACATAGCAAGACGGACTGTAGGCATGCCGTTTGCTCTTAACGAGTAGTCAAATTCCGGAATTCGTTGCCGGTTGGGGTAGTCCAAGCGACTTCGCAGGAGTCCTTAAAGAGAAAACTTGACATATTCTAAAGAAAGTATCACTATAATTTATTAATACTTTTTTCTGTTTTATCGTTTAAATGTACATAGATTTTTGCGTGATGGATTCGGTGATCCACTGTTAGATACGGAAGCCGTTTAAGTGAAAGCTTCTATCTCATCCAGAACCTCTCGCACTCATTTCGTGTCTCCACTCTGAAATTGCTCCAGTGCATTCCAGTCCTTTTGAAGTAAAGGGATCACTAAATTTCCATGCACTAATTGATACCAAATAAAACTTGAATAATTATTGGAAAATTCTATTTTTGAAAATGCACTTCAAAGTTACTAGTGCAGGGTTTTGCTCTAGAGGCATTTTTGTCGTAGCCAAAGCAAGACCTTAGATCATAGAGTACTAAAACATCTAAATCTTTTCTACATAATGACGCATCTATAGGAGAATTACCTAGTTTATATGAATAATTTTTAACATGTCTCAGACTGGTTAACCCATGGAAGAGTTGTAAGTTAGTCCATTGTTATCCGTCCATCTTTGAATTTGAGTGAGATCCTGAAGTGCAAGCTCACCATTCTGTTTGAACTCTTCTCTCCAGGGCTTAACACTGCCAGCAAAAAGTGATATCGTAGAGGATGTTTGCTGGGAAATGCCATTTATATGTACTGGAAAGTTCTTACTACCGGACACTGTTGGATTCCACTAGGACATTCTATAACCTAATAGATAAGTGATTTATACAGATTTTAAATAACTGAATATTTAGGCAGGACTTAGACCAGTCTACCAGTGGCGACTGGATACCTAATAAGGATGAGCTATTTGACAATAAATATGATCGGCCCTACCAGTTTTCGAAAAATAAAGTTACATTATATCGACCTTACGCTTAAGATGAAGGATTGCGGTCCATCTATCCACTGCAGTCATTAGATTTGTAGTGTATGCAGTACGTAGAAGAATGTCCAGCAAATTATACATATTTGTATTCAAAATTATCTTTTATTTATGTTACTTCCAAGCGGCTAAAATTTCAAAAAAAAACGTTGTCGCCAGTTTCTTTGTTTTATGGTAAAATTGCAGTTGGTCGCATCGTCTAAAGTTGTACTATCATATTAAGTATTCACTTCTATTTTCAACAATTCTAATATTATTATTATGGGGCTGTGGAGGTTGCTAAGGTGGTCGCGCAATTTCGTGGATTGGTCGAAGTTAGACACTAACATCGTCGAGTGCCGGTTCAGTAGTCTAGAGGTTAAGTATTCGCTCACTAGACCGAAGACCCAGAGTTCGAATCCCCCGAGCGGGACCGTAGTTGCGCACTGCTGAGGAGTCCCGTACTAGACCGTCCATTGCTTCCAGGTTTTCAATGGTGGTCTAACATCAATCGACTCATAATTTCAATCTAAAAATTCTAACATTATTTTCCAGTGGTACATAGCTTTCCACTTTGTTTGGATAAAGGACATGGTTTACGCAGCACCCATAAAATACCCAAGAGATATAAGCTGTGATGTGGATTTTTGTAAACTAGTTTTTAGTGGTCCCGTAATCATAAAGCACCGATTTTTTATACTTATTTTCCAGAAATAGACTTCATACATAAACCAAATGACAAACTTTGATGTAATATGAATCCCGAATGTCGAAAACCCGTTTTATTATGGGGTGTTCTTGGCGGGTTTATGACTGGGACTCTCGATTTTCTGCGAACAAGTAAAGAACGAAGGATTCTTCTACAATTTCGTCACCTTAGGTAACCTTCGTCGTGGTGTGCATGTTGGTTTAGTGTCCATAATGTTTATATCTACATGTGCTAAGTAAATCCTATTATCTAACATAACGTTACTCCAGCATAACATGCCATCATTTGAAGTTCAAGCGTAACCAAGAAAATCGGATGTCATATTTTAATTTTAAAAAGCGGTTGGATGAAGAACTAGCTCAAAAGCTTTCATTATCACAACAAAAAATATGATGAAAGACCTGCAACTAGTTGTAGACTATGAATAGTAATTTGAATCATTTTTCCTATCCAAAAAACGTGTTCTAGTTTATAGATAATGGTCGTTTTGTTTTATTCTTGGTTATTGTAATTTAATGAACTGACTAGTCATTATCTATTGGGTCATGAGTTTGGACTAATCCACTCTCAAATCGACTGGTATACTTGAAACATTCGTTATCTGCTGAGTAATGCTGGTTATTGTCATATGTGGCTTATAAATGAACACATCCGCAGTTTCCATTTACTAATCATCACTATGCGAATCTAGGTGTATTCATCTTTACGCTAGGAAGTTTCGGAATATTCCAAGCTTAACGTATTAACTCCAAAAAATTATGATGAAGAATATCTGTTGATAACATCTTAGTGTGGCAATAGAAAGAAAAATGTAAATAAATAATATTCAGCTTTAAATAGTTAGTCAAGCGATTTATTCGTGATTTTGAAGTAATCCAGAAAATATCCCAAACTAATGTATGCTGGTTGTTAACTATCGCAGAAATATAACCGGTGTACCATTGACATATGTATTAATGACTTATTATAAAATCTCAGTAGGTATTTTCCGATCCCATATAATAGAATTATTTCCGAATTCAACAGTAAAAGATGTCTCCAACCTGCAAGGTTTTTGCATTTAATTCCAACATTCAAGATTAGTGGATATTCAGTTCTTACATTACTTTAGGAAAATATAACAGTAACGTGCCTAGTTTTGAAATATTAGTTGCTGTGTATCTGTTACCTAACTAAATGCACAATCACGGCATTGGCCAACATTCTGTGTAGAAGTTAATGATGCACCTTTGGCCCCCTAAGATAACCACCTGCTTCGCTTTGGGCACCCGGGCAGTATAACAGCCCACACACAAATGATGAACTCTTTATGTCTATGTGAGCTACTTTTCTCGCTTCGGAAAACAATCAATTGATTCAAATTATTATCATTACAATTATTGTCATTATTAATATTATTATTATTACTATTATTGTCATTATTATTATTATTTTCCACATTATTCACCCTCTTTTATACTTATACAGCGGCTCGTCTTTGATGGAAATTCGACTGTATCTAAACGTTATCGAGTCACTGTCCGGTTTGAAAATTGTATGTTACCACCGAATATGAGTACTGAAGCAGTTTTTCTGAAACCACGTACACCATTCAAACTGGCTGCCTCCAAAGTTCGCACACTTATGCAGGTTGGACAACAGATAGGGCTGACCGTCTTTGGAAAGTCTTAATATCGATGTCTACTGCCTATCCGAGACCCGTATTCAAGACTCTGGTGAAGTACTACAAATTCGCTCCTCATCTGTCACTTTAAAAAGCTTGTTTTACGCGCGCTTATCCGGGGACCCTGTGGCATCTTCGTCTGGTGTTGCTGTCGCACTAAGCGCTAGAGCTGAGGCAGCACTAGTCGATTGGATCCCCATTAACAGTCGGTTATGTGCTGTTAGATTAGAAAGTTCCATCAAAGTGAGAAGAAATCGGCGTGAGAAACGATGTCTTTTCGTCATCTCCGCCTATGCCCCGATAGATTGCAGCCCGGATGCAATCAAGGATGAGTTTTACCACCAGTTATCTGTTCTTCTCCAGAAAGCGCGTTCGACAGATATTGTAGTACTAGCCGGAGACTTGAATGCTCAGGTCGGGCGTCTAGGCACAGAAGAGAGTCGTTTAGGTGGCCGATGGGGACTCGTTGGTCGCAGGTCAGATAACGGGGACCGTCTACTGCAACTTTGCACAGACCACAACCTGTTTCTGGCTAGCACTAACTTTCGGCACAGTCATCGCCGATGTGCCACCTGGCGTCCTCCCTCTGCATCTCAAGCCTGGACTCAGATTGATCACATCGCGATCAGCTACCGCTGGCGTGGTTGTGTACAAGACTGCCGCTCCTTTTGGAGTACCTATCTGGACTCTGACCATGCTTTGGTCTGTGCCAATCTTACCTTACTTTTCAATGGCCAACGAAGTGACCGTCACCAACGGATTGATGTTGGCAAGCTGGTTGCAACTTCTGTTGCAAGTAAGTATGGAACCGAGCTAGCTTCTAGGCTAGCTACCATTCCACCGAAAATTATAGATGAGCATTGGTTGCAATTGCATGACGCCATGAAAATGGCGGGTACAGTCAGTTGTGGGTTTGCGAAACGTCCCGCTTATAAGCACTGGGTTTCTGCAGGTTCCTTACAACTCATTGAAGCCCATCGGTCTACTCCGGGTGACCGTGAGTTTGACCATAAACGAAGGATGTTATGTAAGGAAATCGGGCAAAGCTTGCGTAAGGACCGAGAAGCCTGGTGGTCGAAGCGTGCTAATGAGCTGGAAGCAGCAGCTGCATCTGGTAACTACCGGGAGCTCTCCCAACTCATCCGAGCCACTGGCAGCAAGAAGTCTGGTGTGAGCGAAACAATCTGCGAGGATGACGGAATGCCAATCACTAAGGTCAATCGACGTCTTGGACGATGGGCAGAATTTTTCGAAGGGCAGTTCAGCTGGCCTGCTGCTCCGGCAACATCGGTCAGACTGTCCTGCCCTCCATGGCCGGTGGCGATTGATCCACCAAATAAGGTGGAAGTCCGCAAGGAACTCCAACTCTTGAAGCGTTACAAATCACCTGGCCCAGATGACTTACCTCCGGCTCTTTTTAAAGATGGTGGTGACTTTCTGACTAAGGAATTGACGACGTTGTTTACAAAGGTTTGGGTGTTAGAGAGTGTACCAACGTCATGGAATGAGTCGATAGTTGTCCCTACGTTTAGAAAGGGTTCACGTCGTTCCTGTAACAACTATCGGGGGATAAGTCTACTTCCGATTGCGTCCAAGCTATTGGCTTCCGTCATACTTCGTAGGTTGTTGAAAACCCGAGAAAGATTGACTCGCGAGGAGCAGGCTGGGTTTCGTTCTGGTCGAGGATGTATTGATCATATCTTCACCCTCCGCCAAATGTTAGAACACCGCCATACTTTTCAAAGGCCAACAATCGTAGTGTTTCTTGACATCAGGGCTGCCTTCGATTCGTTGGAGAGGACTGTTCTCTGGGATTGTCTACTGAAGAAGGGTGTGCCTGAGAAGTTTATTAACATCCTAAAAGCCCTATATACAAACACCCCAGGCAGAGTGAGGGTATACAACCATCTCTATCCATTGTCTCATTCGAGCAGTGGGGTTAGGCAGGGTTGCCCAATCTTACCATTCCTCTTCAACTTTGCCATCGACGAAATTCTGGAAACAGCTCTGATAGATGTAAGTAATGACGGTGTGGATCTGTTGCCCGGAGAAAGACTTCTCGACCTTGAGTATGCGGATGATAGTCTTACTGTGCGATAATGCCCGAGCATGCAATCCGCACTTAATCAGTTGGCAATCAGTGTCCGTAGGTATGGTATGTGCTTTGCACCTTCGAAGTGCAAATACTTCTACAGGACTGGCAGGATTCTGTTGCTGTACTCACTTTGGGTGGTGAGCAAATAGAAGTAATCGAGAAATTCGTTTATCTGGGTAGCTGCACAGCTGTTGGTGGTGGTGTGAGTGATGAGATCAATGCACGTATAGTGAAAGCCAGAGCGGCTTATGCCAATCTTGTCCATTTTTGGCGCCTTCGTGATGTTAGTCTGGCTGTAAAAGGTGGGATCTACAACGCGTCGGTGAGAGCAGTTTTGCTGTATGCTTGTGAAACCTGATCTCTCCGAGTTGTTGACGTTAGACGACTCTCTGTGTTCGATCATCACTGTCTCCGAAGGATTGCTGACAGCCAGTGGCAACATCATGTCAGTAATGCAGAGGTTCGGCATCGTGTGTTCGGGCACAGAGATGATAATTCAATTGGTGTCACCATTTTGAAACACCGACTACGGTGGCTTGGACATGTTCTCCGAATGTCGTCCCAGAGAATTTCACGTCGTGCATTATCTGCCGACTCTGGGACTGGTTGGAAGAAGCGGAGAGGTGGTCAGTGCATGACATGGTGTCGTGGCATGAAAGGAAGCTGCAAAGGACTGGCTTGTGTTGGTCCTTCACGACTCCCTGGTTGGGGTCTGAGAGATGGTGCTACACAGTGGCTAGAGACGTTATCAGATATGGCTCAGAATAGAAGCCAGTGGCGATCCTGCTAAAACCTTCTTTTACTTTCTTCATAAAAAGTGGTTGTGTCTCCCTTACCTGAAAGATTTCTTCTGATTGTACCTATCCGTTTCCTCATTATTACTACACTACCTAACACCAATCTCTCCATTATTGTTCTCTTTTTTGTTTACACTCCTTACCTTTTTTCTTTTTCCTTCTCTTTAAATTGTAATTGTTTTGTGTGGCGCATTATTGTACCAATCTTTATGTGTCCAAATAATATATAATAATAAATAATAGTGCCTTTTTGATGATGGTTGTAGTAGTTCTCCAAGTTTTAACTCTGTACAGTTGACGTTCGACTTTGGTAATTGGCTGACAGTTGTTACTCATCATTACACTAACTCAAAATTTATACCTAGTATTGATAGATCTTGTCATTTTTTTAAACAATGTATTGTACATTCCAGACGCTTCTGAGGTTTAAAGGTTAATGTTGTAATTGGCATTCACTTTTTGAACAGAAATTTCGAGTAACTGCGAGGGTATAATGTACGCTATATTAGTAAACTTGATACCTCTTAATCACCCGGCAGATCCAGTAAATAAAGTTAGTGTTGTACTTAATGTCCTTCGAGAAAGACCGTAAACTAAGAACAGTATAACCGTTACGAGCTGCCAAATCCATGGCGATCTGTTCTGGACACTCAGTTTATTATTTCGACGACTTAATTCCCATTAAACCACTAACCCTGAAAATTGTCGTGTTAGATATATTTCCAATCATGGTTTTATATTGATACTAATATGCAAACTAAAACATTAAACAATGAGTAATATATGCCGGAATTTAATTTTATAGCAATTGGTGAATCGGTCGTGTCTTTCTAGGTTAACGTTATGTACACGATTTCACGAGCTGATATCGCTTTATTCTGGAAAAGTGAAGATTATTTGAATTGTTGTTAAATAATATTTAACACAGACATTGACTGATTTAGGTTATGTAACACGGCACAAAACGGATGCTTTCAGTAGAAATTGATCAATTTTTCAACCCTAAGAAAATAATATGCTCGTTGATACAAATCAAATCTTTTATTTGTAAGAGTGAACTATCATAATCATTCAACTATAAGGAACGCTGAAATTGCAGCTAATATTGAAATCCCTATCGAATAAAAAGTACGATAAGAGGGGATACTACAAACAACAATATGTAGATTAGATTGATCGATACATATATAAGATGTTTGGTTGATTAATTTTCATCAGTCAGTCAGCTACAACGTAGGACCAGGCACATATGTGCATCGGTCCAGGTTGCCATACCTCATTAGCACAGCAAGATGAACACCGGATTCATAGGAGTGGTTAGGTCAAAGGTTGCAATAAGGATATAGTATAGGAAGAAAGAATTAGTTCGTAGACAGAAAGAATGAAGTGATTTTAGTCTCTTAGTTTAAGGGAAGACAGGGAGTGTATACAACGACGCCATTGTGATCGATTCTGAGCCATGTCACCAAGAGTCTCCAACCATTGGTTACGAATGTCACGCGGACCCCAACCAAGTAGTCTGCATCTACCAACGTGGCTCAGACTAGAAGTTAGTGACTTCAGGCACTGATGCCACGTTTTGGTTTGGCCGCCCCTAACTTTCTTCCAACCATCCCCTACCCTGGTTAGCATCGCACGTCGTGGTAATCGGTGTTCAGGCATACGTAATACGTGGCCCAACCATCTCAGTCGATGAAGATTCATAACCTCATCAACTGATTTACCATCATTCCCTAATACCCTGCGTCTAACCTCGCTATTACTTACCCGGTGATCCCAGCAGATGCCAGCAATATTTCTAAGGCATCTGTGGTCAAATACTAGTATCTTACGGGTGTCTTCTACTCTTAAGGGCCATGTTTCGCTGCCGTAAATTAAAACAGAACGAACTGCCGCGCAGTATACTCGTCCTTTTATTGATAGACCGATATCTCGCCTTCGCCAAAGGTGACGCAAGTTGGCAAAAGCCAAACGAGCTTTTCGAATCCGTGCTGAGATTTCGTCCGATACCAACCCATTAGGGCTGATCACACTTCCAAGATAAGTGAAGTTATCAACGCGTTCGACTACTTCACTCCCTATCCTTAGTTCAGATGTTGACGCAGACCAGTCATAGATCAAAACGAACAAAATATTGAAAATTAAGAATTCATTTAATACACCTCGTTTATTATCAATTAGGTCTGTAAATATATATATATATATATATATATATATATATATATATATTTCTTAACAATTGATGTAGGTGAAACAGGAGTGAGATATCGATGCTTATTCGAAAGCTTTAATTATTTGAAGGTCTGAAATAATAAATAAGAATAATAATAGTTAAATAGTAATGAGGATTAGACTAAACAATATTCAATTGTCTGTTTTCGTGAACTTTCATTATCAAGTAATGATTAGATGAATTATAGGAATAAACTAACCAAATCATAACAGTTTCATTGACGAACACAACGTCTTAGCTTAGGATTCATACTATCAAAATATCGTAACTTATAGTACCAGTGTTATGGAAAATATCCAAATAATTGCAACAACAAAAAAACATCTTTTAGGTGGAGTTTTGTTCTCAGAGTTGGATGGTTTGATCAGAGAATAAAATTATCCACTTGAGTTATAAATCTTCTCCACCATTACAAAAAAAAAAACACCATACACAACGAAATAAATATTTTGGCTCAAGTGACAAGAAGAACTATTACTAAATGAAGAGGTTTTCACGAAAGTAAACATCTTTGATTGCTGTCATGAAAATGGTGTCATAAATGATAATTAGATGGAATAAACAAAATAGAACTGTTGAGATGAAAAAGACGGGTTACATTTTATGTACAAAAGAGATATTTCATTATATCGTACTATACCAATTCGGTTTTGAGATTGGGGTCATTCTAAATAAATGTTGTATAAGTTCTTATTATTTCGTTGTTGATATCAAGAGTTCAATCTAATCACTATATAAGTGTATTGGTCCTTTGAATAGATACATGGATAATCAATATAAACGTATGTTTGAGGTATCATTCATTCAGTGAATTCATTTGCTCACGCCGCCAATAGTCATATTTAATTGTGAATATCAGCAATGGAAAAATATAAGTTGGTGGTTACCGCAACCTAAAATAGGTGTTAGGTCATGGCCTCAGTGAATCCCACTTCTACGTATTACTTACGGTAGAGCTAACAAGATAATTATGGTCATCCCTTCACTGATGAAACTAGACCGTAGCTAGCATCTTGATGTGATGATAAGGTTTCCATATGGTAGCAACTCAATAGAGCTAATATTGTCTAGAACACGTTTCGTGCAGATCGGCTGGATAGGGGTAAGAAAAGCAGTAAATACGAGGCATAAAATGAAGATCTTACTACTCACTATTGGAGCGTGACAACATTACTTAGGGACACAGTATCTCAAACGCATACCTAAAAAAATCCCTTGTTTTGGCCGGAATAGTAGTAAATTTGAAAGGTTAGAGGCACGAATATAAAAACACAGAGTTACTATGAAGTCAGTGACTGTTAACCTGAACCGTCCCCACAGTCACAGATCTTTTAGTTGAAGAAGGAATAATAACCATAATCGATGGAGGGAGAGGAATAAGACGACACGGCTCGAAATCAGTGGTAGTGGTGGTGCAATCGTGGTTAATTTTATTTCAGTTGTTCTTTGAACTTCTTCTTGCTATTAGTTTACTAATAGAGCAAATACTACTTTACTCGGGTGCTTCATGTCTTGTTACATCGCTCTTTTTCTCTTTAATTTCTGATGTGGCAAATGGGACCGATACATACTTGTGTCAAGTCTTGCGATAAGGCCGATGCTAGAGCTGTAGATGCAAATTTAAACTTGAAGTCTAGATGAATACATTTTGTAAAGAGTAGTTCATAAATCGTAGTCAATCAACATAGTGTACTGAGGAGAACTAATTTTTGAAATAATAAAGCTTAATGAATTGGTAAAGACAGGTATTACTAAAACTCGCTAATACACTATACTATCATTATCTGATTATATTGGCATAAAAAGTGTGACATAAATGAGCATGCGTAAAGGCAATAAATTCCACTTCTTGTTAACTTCCAGACTAAAATAGATTTCATGCACTGCAGCACAAATACAATGTTAAACTTACTTTGCCCAATCGACTTTTAAAACAACATGGTTATGTCTAAGACCATTGACACCATAAATTGCACTTTTCGCCTCTTCCGCAGTTCTGAAGGATATAAAGGCAAATCCCTAAAAATAGAGTTAAATTAAATGAGAAAAGATGACTTAAACATTTTACAGATTGCAAAGCAATTAAATTTAACTGCAAATACATGTTTTTTTTTGTAATAGAGTGCTAGGTTTGAAGCTTTACGAGTTCACTTAATCTGCGAATGAGAACAAGACTCAGTGATCAAAGATCAGTAATCTAGCTATTGATGCGTTCCAACCCCACTACCTAGGAGAAGTCCAAGATTGGTATGGAAAATATATTCTGCAAACAGCCAGAAAACGAGCAAACCCAAAAACACAATTTAAAACGTATATATACAAATATATATAATCGATATTGTCATGGGAGATTTTTAAACATTAATCAATGATTTCATCAATTGACTGCTATTTAATTACTTAATCGATATGATAAAATTACAAATATGAGTTTTGGGGATCTATTGTCCCCAACATGGAGGAACACACTTTAAATCTATTTTAGACTGTTTCATCATTCGTTATTTCCTAATATCCTTTACTTAGAATAGACGGTCTTAATTCATTTCAAAGCCATCCCTTAAGTATGCATCCAAGTTAGTAAAAAAATGTGCCATAATGGTCATTTCTTTTTTTCATCTTCCGTGAGCTCGATATCGTGGTAACAACTTGTCTTTTTCCCAGTGTTAGTGTCAGATTTGTTTTCTACGTTCTTATCTATTACACAATTTGAATTATGTCTAACACTGGAATTCAGAAAGCGCGTTTCGTCATATTTGGGATTAGTCAGATGTACACGCATTTCAATGTTGATGTCGACATACAGATTTGAAACTTATAAAGTAAATAGTACTGGTACTTATGACACAAATGGCTATGCGAAGACAATCCGCTTAGATAGCACATTTGCCAACAAAGACAAAATAGAAAATTCCAATCTTGAATATCAATGGCAAGATAATACAAATTCTTACTCAATATTACTGTTACCTTAGAATACAACATATGCATGATGACAATTAAAGATTCTAATTATTATTAGATTAATAGTTATACAATTGGAGACAAATAAATGATTATAATCGCTTTTGCGGTTTTTATATTTTTCCACATGGCTAAACTGGTGTATCATTAACTCTTCGTAATGTGCACTATTGTTTAGTGATAAAAAAGGAAACGTAAAGCGGTTACCTCGCTGATATGCATATATTGAGTTATTCTTTCCATTTCGCACAGATGTATAATTGTTTGGATGCATACTATCACGACCCAACTATTGTAATTAGTGTTGTTAAACTCAAATATGTGTAGTTTTAGTAAACATTGATTTTAAGAAAACTTTCATATATACTTATTGAATGTTTAGGATAACCTTTTAAAAATAATAAAAGTGGATATATACAGAAAGTGAAATAATTTACCCTGTTTTGTTGTGTCAATTTATCTTTTGCTGGATAGATGCGCACTACGTGACCAAATGCACTGAACACTGATTTCAATTCATCTGCAGTTGTATCCGGTGGTAAATTAGTGACACGTACAGTGTTTTCATCGAATGGACGTTTGTCAGTTGACATACTAGACCCACTAGTATTGGCTGCATCACCACGTAATGATGGTGGTATATAACGTCCAGAACGATCATTTTGCTACAAAATGAAAGTGAACCTTTTATCAGAAATATTATGGGTTAAACAGTAAGAAAACGAAAGCGGTTTATTCAGTACAATTTCCTATTGACAGTAAATGTTATATCACAAATCACTTCACAAAAACATACACACAAAATTCATAAAAGATTTAGTCTATAAGTCATAAAAAAACATGACAATGTTAAACACCTAATCGATATTTCCAAACTGAAGATTCTTGCACTGAAAAAAAAAGCTTTTCCTTGCCTAACACGAAGTCTTCGGTCAACCTAGGACACTATGATTTGTCAATACGATCTTAATGCATTTCATCAAGCCAGTAGTCATTAATAATATTTCAGTTTTCTACTGAAGAAAATATTCAGTCAACCATAGGCTTCTGATTCTTAATTTCATTGATTTGCGCTAATGCTGCATGGGAACTTAAGCTGGCGTACCATTTTCTTGGCTCTGTGCTGATTACAACTGGATGTAGAATTTAGGGTTAATTTTATTTGTCATGCAGAACATTATTATTATTATTATGCGGTGACGTTTGGTTTATAGTTTAAAATACCTTTCTGCTGTACTAACAATAACGGTTTCTGTGTAACAGCATATTTTCTCTACTCACGTCATGAACGAAACCTTTAAGTTACATGATAGGTTTGGATAAAATTAACTAGACAACCGACTAAATCCAGAAAGCACCGAATAGCTTTTTTCTTTTTGGTGTGAAACTCTTTAGTAGCTCACACTCAAGACCCAGCGAGGAACCGTACTCGGGACCTTTACAGTGAACACGTTACATCTCTATATCATCGAAGCAGTATCCAACAGTCCAAATTTCGAACACCTCAATCAACTCACGATACCATTATACAAGCTATAATTGACCATCAAAGATACTCAACTCATTTCGGATATTGTTGTATCCCACCATGCACGGCTTTATCACAAGGACTTTGATGATTTATTCCAGCTTGAATATTGAAGATCTACACTGATGAGTATAGTATTATTTTTTTAAATGGAAGTGTTTGTGAAGATTATTTGAATCACTCCATAACGTCATGAACTGTCTTTAAATTGAATAATCTCTACGATGCTATTTTTCGGTAATATAAATATTACAGACCATAAATATATACAGCTCTCCATACCTGAGATACAAAAAACCCAACTCCGACTTACTAATTCTTTAGCTGTTTCTTCTGTAGGTTCCGTTTTAGCACGAAGTTGTTCTTGTAACAACTGCATTGCTTCCATATCACTTTTGTACGGGCAAGTACGAGTGAAATGTCCACCTTTACAATAATTACAAACAATCACAGGTTCTCCAAGTTTTGTTTTCACATTCATCTCTTCCTGTCTCTTTTGCTCTTGTTCAGGCTGTACGAAAAAATGAGATTAAGGAATACATGAGTAGAATTTATTAAATTGCTTCAAACCAATAAGCATTGCAATACATACGTTTTTAAGATGTGTTTATTTGCTTTATCAAGTCTACAGGATAGTGTTCGCATAGTACAACCTGGATAAATATCACCTCAAAATACAAAGAATTGATCAAACTTACGCAAAGTAGAAACTGATACGTGTGCCAGATGAGTTGAAATTCATCAAAATTGTTTATAAGGTTGACTACTATGAGGAACAAGTAATTAAAAATCCTAGTAAGTAACGCGAAATCTGAAAGCTATATGGATTGTATCACACATTTCAGTCTTAAGAACTTGTCTGTAACTTTCAGTTTTAGTAGGACATTTAAGTTCGTTTGAGTAAAATATGTCTAAAATACTAGCCTCTACGAAAACTGAACGCTTAACTAGGGCTTGTAAGGAGCAAACTTGAGAAAAATAGGCTGGTTTCAAACCTAGACGTGGATGTGTAAAACAAATTATTCACTCGTCAGGTTTTACAACAAAGGCATACTTTCCGGCGCTCAACAATAATTGTATTCCATGACCTTAGGGTGGTGTTCAACAAGTTCTGAATCAGTCTATGATTAAAAGGCATATCAAAGAAGTACATTAACCTTGTACAGGTTCATTAACCAAGTACTACTGGTCAAGTTAGAGCTAATAGCAAACTGTCATCGGAATCGGTTACTTCAAGTAGGGTTCATCAAGGTTGTCCGATTTCCCCATCTTCAAATAACTTTGACATAGACGTGCTTTTAGAGATAACACTTCCATCGCCTGGTTTCAACGGTTGATCTTATACCTGGAGATTTACTTGGTAACTGAAAATACTTAGATGACACAGCCCTTTTTGGTGAAGACGCTGACAAAATGAGTCTTTTGACCCCCTTAAGCAACAATCCCAGAATGTTTGGGATAAGATTCTCTCCTACCAGATGCAAAATGTTGCTTCAGGACTGGGTCTAAATCAACGCCTGAACTAATGATGCGGAGTGAAAATGTCAAATATATTGACTACTTCACTTATCTTAGGGTTCTCATCAGTCTTGGTGACCTGGTGTTTGACGAAAACTCGACACGGATTCAGACAGCTCGGTTGGCTTTAGCCAACTTGCGTCACATGTGGTGTAGGCGAGATATTCGTCTGCCAAACAAAAGATGAGTTTATTTGGCAGTAGTCCGCTCCGTTCTAGTTTATGTGTGGAACATGACCATTAAGAATAGAGGACACTAACTGTTGGGTTGAGCTAAGTAGGTACGTGGATAGGCAAATATTTTGCACATATTAGTTAAACCGATTTCTTTGTGGTTGTCACACGAAGATTTTTTTACTTCTTGTAGATTGGAACGATTAGCAATCAGTCAGTCAGTCAGTCAGCTACAACGTAGGACCAGGCACATATGTGCATCGACACCAAGCAGATGGGATCACGTTCGTTTCCCAGATTCCAGCTAAAATCTCAGTCAATCTAGCTTCTAAAACTGGACTACCGTCTTTAAAATCCTCAAGAGTCAATCTATTACAAATTGCTACCCTCCTTCACCTTAGATTTCTATAGCATTTGCAACCCACCGAGTTGGAAAGCTTACATCTATTTGCTATTCAGGTCTTTTCGAGATAGTGAGTAACTGAAGTGTGGCTGAAGACCAGTTGAACTGTTCCCTAAAGTATTCTGCCTATCAGTCAAATCTCCAGGATTTTAGTGAATAATAGTCTCATCTTTTACTGAGAGAGTCTCACTAACAGCCGTAAGTTTAATACCCGTTTGCTTAATATGTCTGAGCAGTTGACTAATGTTACTTATCTCAGCTGCCTTTTCCATCTCTTTTGCTTTCGCTACCCACCACTACACATTATTATTACGTAGGCTTTTTATCAACCTACATTTAAGTTGCCTCCGATCATCATCGTGTTCGGAGCCAAACGGGATGAATTTACTAGCACCTATCAGTTAAGTAGACGCCATTGAAATCCACTGATTCCTCTTAACGTCTTGGTTAAAGTTATCAGTAAAAATCACTGTTGTCTTCACAGCTTCTTGGATATCATGCCAAGTTACCTCAAGGTGGATATCCCTTTCGTGGTTGACTAAGTTGTTTTGTATTTATTTCTGAAACACATCTAAGCTTTTTCAACATTACGTTGAACTATACAGGCTTTTTTGCCGTGGCTGTACTGCAGGAAAATACGTGCTCGAACTAGGACATAATCCGAGTCTAAAAATGTGCTCCAAAATGAGCGATAGTCTTCTGTCGAGCCGTTCAACGTCACACCTCACCTTACCTCACGGATTTCCGTCTCCAGCGGTAAGACCCTTTGAAGAACGGAGCTAACAGATTAAAAACCTTCCACGAAAAGGCCGTGCGCGATCGGCCTCTAACAGTTGTCCCTTGGGCTCTGCGGTCACGCTCCCAGGTCGTTAAGGCCGATATTAATCCGAATTGCTTTTCAGGTTCCTCCACGGTGTGGGCAGCCGGGAAGTGACATCAGCCCTCATACCCGTAACAGCACACGAGACCAAGGTGGTCACATTCAAATCCTTCCTACACCTCCTAATACCTCTCTTATCTCCATGACTAACCCTCCTCACGTCTCTTTATCACCTCTCACCGCTAGGGCAAACGATTCGAGTACGTGGAACGCCATTCCTGGTCTCCTGAAACCACGCTCTAAACTACACATAGGAGCTTTTAACGTACGAACACTTTGCCAAATAGGACAGCAGGCTTCATTAGCTAAAACTTTAGAATCCCGCGCCATCGATGTGTGCTGCGTCTCCGAAACGCGCATACAGGATCTGAATAGCGTCATTCATTTCACCTCACCATGCCAAAATAAGGAACCGACTCGATTCACACTTCGTGTATCTGTTCCTTGCAAATACTAACTTCAAGCATAAGGAAAAACATCTTTGAACATGGAGACCCCTTAATTCGTCCCAACGTTGGACCCAAATAGATCACATCGCTATCAGCCACCGATGGAGGGGCTCGATAGAAGACTGTCGCTCATTCTGGAGCACATGCTTAGATTCAGATCATGCTCTAGTACGAGCGCGTATCTGTCTGCGTCTTACTGGACGTAGGAAAGACACTGCAAGGAAACCTCTTAGGGGCCTACTGAATGATAGTCAAGCTAAGAGTATATTTCAGGAACAACTAGGAAAACAGTTGGGCAGCCATGTAAGTGATGTCCACCCCGAGGCAGCATGGATTGATATCCGAAAAGCTGTGGAAACAGCAGTGATATCTGCTAGTAAGGTAAACCAGAAGGTTAGGAAGCAACACTGGATCTCAGCAGCATCTACCGCACTGATAGGTGCTCGAAAACTCATTCTATCTGGCTCTGAACATAACAAAGAGCGGAGTTAGCTTAAGCGCAAGCTGACAAGAAGCCTACGCAATGATCGCGAACAGTGGTGGGTAGCGAAAGCAAGAGAGATGGAAAAGGCAGCGGCAATAGGTAATAGTAGACAATTGTTCAGACTTGTTAAGGAAACCAGTATAAGGAAACCGACCGTTAGCGAAACAATCTCAGAGAAAGATGGACATATTATTCATTCTCAATCCAGGAGATTGGATCGATGGGCAGAACACTTCAGGAATCAGTTCAACTAACCTTCAGCCACACTTCGGTTTCCCACGATCTCCAGTCAACCTGAATGGCAAGTTAATGTAAGTCCTCCGTCCCTTTACGAAGTTGAAAAAGCCATAGGAAATCTGAAACGAGGGAGAGCAGCAGGCCCTGACAGGTTTACTCCTGAGATTTTTAAGGATGGTGGTCCAGTATTAGCAATGAGATTAACCGAGGTCTTAGGTAGAATTTGGGAACTGGACGTAATCCCATCTGACTGGTCTCAATCACTGATTGTGCCAGTCTATAAGAAAGGACAAAAGTCCTCTTGTAACAATCACAGAGAAATCAGTTTGACTAATATAGTGTCTAAAATATTAGCTTCAATAATACTTCGACGCCTATTCAAAGCTCGTGAAGAGCAGATTAGAGAAAACGAAACCGGTTTTCGACCTGGACGTGGTTGTATAGATGAGATATTCACACTACGTCAGGTTCTAGAACACAGACACTCGTTCAGACGCCCCACAATCGTAGTATTTCTAGACCTTAAGGCGGCATTTGACTCTGTTGATCGTAAGGTTCTATGGCAGTGTTTGTCACTGAATGGAGTACCAAAGAAGTACATTAACTTTATACAGGCTCTCTACTCGAACACAATTGGCCGAGTGAGAGCTTATGGCGAACTGTCATCAGAATTGATTACCTCAAGTGGTGTTCGTCAGGGCTGTCCACTCTCCCCATTCTTGTTCAACTTTGTCATTGACGTACTTTTAGAGATAACACTCTCCTCATCTAAATTTCCAGGGGTTGAACTTCTACCAGGAGGTTCACTTGTTGACTTAGAATATGCAGATGACATAGTTTTACTTGGTGAAGACGCTGACAAAATGCAGAGTCTTATGACCACTCTAAGCAACAATGCAAGCATGTTCGGGATGCGATTCTCTCCCTCGAAATGCAAAATGTTGCTTCAGGATTGGGTTACATCGACACCCGAACTAGTGATAGGGAGTGAAGTAGTTGAGCGTGTCGACCGCTTCACTTATCTTGGAAGTCTCATCAGCCCTTGTGGTGTGGTGTGTGACGAAATCTCAGCACGGATGCAGAAGGCTCGACTAGCTTTTGCTAACTTGCGTTATTTATGGCGTAGGCGAGATATCCGTCTATCAACCAAAGGACGTGTTTACTGTGCAGCAGTTCGTTCCGTCCTTCTTTATGGCAGTGAAACATGGCCGGTAAGAGTAGAGGATATTCGTCGGTTACTAGTATTCGATCATAGGTGTCTCCGAAACGTTGCTCGTATATCCTGGGACCATCGAGTAAGTAACACAGTTGTTAGGAAACGGGTACTAGGTAAGGATGACGAATCGATTGGTGAAGTAGTGAAACTTCATCAGTTGAGATGGCTGGGACACGTGTTACGTATGCCCAACTACCGACTGTCTCGACGTGCGATGTTCAGTGGTATAGGAGTAGGTTGGAAGAAAGCTAGAGGCGGCCAGACCAAAACATGGCACAAGTCCATGAAGTCACTGACAAGTGGACTGAGTCATGTCGGTAGGTGTAGACTAGCTGGTTGGGGACCGCGAGATGATAGCAACCGTTGGTTAGAGACCCTGAATAACATGGCTCAAAATCGTTTGCAATGGCGCAGGTGCATACACTCTTTGTGTTCTCCCAAATTTTGATCTCCTTATTCCTCCTTGTCTCTTTTTTTCTCCTCTCAAATTTATTTCACTGTATTATACTCTTTAAATAACATCTCCAGACCCTAATTTTCCCGATTACTGCTTATACTCTTATTACCTCTACCACTACGGGATTTGAATTGACCACTGCATCTCTATGCTAATGTGGTGTAGCAACTCGAACTGATTTACGTACGCACGAAATTCTACGTTGTTACTGACTGACTGACTTACTGACTGACGTACTGGTTTTTTAGATTGATAAGGTAAGGTCAGACTAATAACTGTACTTGGATCCTGTATGTGCGTCTCGGGGATGCAGCATAGATCTAAGGCGCGAGGTTCTAGAGTTTAGCTGAAGAAACCTGTTGTCCCATCTGACACAAGGTTTGAACATTAAAAGCTCCAACATATAGTTTAGAGCGTAGTTTCAAAAGATCAAGAATAACATTTCGTGAACTAAAAGCATTAGTGGCACGTCATGATAAAGATATACGAGGACGATTAGTTGTGGGATGCAAGAATTATTATGGGTTGAGGTAAGGATTCAATCGTCAAAAAGATAATTCCGAGTGCTATTAAAGGTATGAAGACGGTGGTTAATTTTCCTACCGTCGAAGAATACTTTTTCTTGAGGGATCTGATAAAGAAGCTGGATTAGTGGAGGTCTTAGTGACCTGGAAGTGTGAGCGCAATGCCCAAGGGACAACTGCTTGGGACCGGTCGCGCACGACCTTTTTATGGGAAGTTTATAATGTGTTGGCTTCACACTTCAAAACGCTTTATCGACGAAGATGAAAATCCATGGGGTAAGGTGGGGTGCGACATTTTTATGATCGACCTTTCTAACTCTTTCTTTCCGTTGTGAGGAGACAGCATCGCTGCAGATGCTAGTTGTCTAAGGGAAACACCTGACCTCTATTACACCTCTCTGTAACCATCAATACGAGTTTGCCCTCGGACCTTAAGTTGCTGGTTTTAGTCTCCAGCCGGCTTCCATGGCATTACAGGACCTAAAGGAACGTGTTACAGTTAAAAAAGCTCGGTTGGGTTATCAGGATAGGCAAGCACGATCATCACGTTAATGTATCAGGTACTATTGGTGCTGTTGCTAATTCTACTACGGTGGGATTTACATTGATAGTTCATCTCGATATGCTAACTTGGTATAACAACTACATCCAACACTCATGTCTTAGGTTTTACGTCACATATGACTAACTTCAGACAGTCAAATGATTGACATCTCATCTGTAGTATGTGGCAAGTTTTTAAACAATAAATAAATGGTAAATGAACAAAAATATACACATGCCTGTCTTGATTGAACAATTTGCATGGTAACTATATCGGCTGGGTAAGTATTGGCTAAATTTCCGCCAGATGGATCAGATTTTGAAGCGCCAAACTTTTTCCATTTTTTTCTGTCCGCTACTCGTGAAGCAACAACTCGTTTTTCTCTTTGATATTCTTTAGTTTCCTTGATCAAATCACCGTCTTCATTGAAGAAATATCGTACGACAGTTTTAATGTTACGTTCTGAATCGAACTTTTCTTCAACAGGGGGTAATTCTGAATCTTCGGTTAACTCATCTGTCCAGCTGAATATAGGCGGGTCGTAGGAAAACGTCAAGGTGAATAAGTTAATAAATATTGACTTTTCGTCAGTTCTCGTCACACTGACCCACCAAAAAATCTTACGAAATTATTTAAGCATTCAAACTTCTAATTTTGTATGGTAACTTACAATTTCCTGGAATACTGGTTATTACGTTATTGTTCGACTTTTTTATATCCATCAAGTGAATAATTACCTTTCATGCACTTATTTTTACATTGTTTTTTTTAACCTCTCAATTGTTAGTCAATCCTCTTGTGACACTTTACATCTCTAAGCATTTTGAGGTGTGATCACTTTCCAAATAAATTATAAATATGATTGGACAGTTTTAATATGCAACACTATTGAAAAAGAAAGTTTTCGCTAAATTTTCTTTATTCCTTCTTAGAAAACAAAACAATAATTTTCATGTACACTGGAAAGTGGAAAAACTCATCAAAATGGACTTCTAGTATGCTTACAGGGGAGAAACAGGGAATAATTATGCAAACTATTCCATGCATCCTAGTCCTTCATAAACAAAGCAGAACCTGAGACCTGTCGATTAGTCCGATTTCTCAAGCCAAGTCAACATAGGGATGGGGGTGGAATTTTTAAGATGAAAAATGTAGCAAAAGTATCAGCTGTTGCCAAAAATTAAGGATGAAGAACAAGAACCAAGAAAGAATAAAGTAGCGGGATAAAAAATGTGAACACTTGAAATCTAAAGAAAGACGTAGTGAATAAATCTGCACTATTTATATTGATTCTGAGCCGTGCCACCCAACAGCTTCAAAAGCAGCGACAGAAACCATACGGACCGCAACTAGGCAGTCCGCACTAACCAACATGGTTGAGACAAACAGTTGATGGTCCCACAAAGTGATGCTGAGTTTCAGTTTGGTCGTTCTACTTTTAAGCCAGTTAACATTGGGTTTTGGCGTATGCGGTGGTTGGGTATATGCAATACGTATCTCAGTTACCTGTCTATGAGGATTTACAATCTTATTGACCGGTATACTATTTATGCTTAGTACCCTGTTTCTAACCTCAATATTGCTCACATGGAGTTCCGAACACTTCTGGAAAATACTTCGAAGAAATGTTAAAGACTGTATGCAGCACTTCGTAACTTCGGTGTTTGTCGAATTCCAGCAACACTTAGTTTAGAGTAATGAGACCACCAAATGCCGTGGTACGGTCGACGATGGAGAGAGTCACCTCTCCCTTTAGAAATGCTCTCATATGGCCAGGAAAGTATTATTCACTACCTTGTCGTGGTAGGGGTTGTTTACGAGGTTAAGAGAATGTCCGGAGCTTTAACCAGGTTGGTGCCCTGGTACGGCCGAGAGTGGGGAGAGTCCGCTCTCCCTCTCGAAATACTCTCACACGGCCACGCGTATACAGCCTCTGCCAGGGAAGTCCTACTCATTGCCTTCTCGTGGCGGGGGTGTTGTTTACGAAAATGAGAGGACGAAAAGCGAATGTCCGGCGCTTTAACCGGATTCCAAATCAATGGTGCACATGGGCTCCAGTATCCTGCGGGAACGAATGGCGTATGAACCAATCGTTGGTCACCGGCTACCATGGGACTGCATCTCCTTACGATGCTCCACTGCCTTGTGGGTTAGACCTTTAGGTCAAAGGCTCGGGGGGTGGCCCCCTAAGAAAACCACCTGCTTCGGTTTGGGCACCCGGGCAGTATCACAGCCCACACACAAACGATGAACTCTATGTCTTTGGCAACTACTTTCATCGCTCCGAAAAACAAAAACAATCAATCAATTCAAATAATTATCATTACTATTATTGTCATTATTGATACTATTATTATTACTATTATTGTCGTTATTATTATTATTATTATCATTATTATTATTATTTCCCACATTATTCACCCTCTTTCATACTTATACAGCGGCTCGGCTTTGGTGGAAATTCGACTGTATCTAAACGTTCTCGAGTCACTGTCCGGTTGAAAGTTGTATGTTACCATCGAATATGAGTACTGAAGCAGTTTTTCTGAAACCACGTGCGCCATTCAAACTGGCTGCCTTCAACGTTCGCACACTTATGCAGGTTGGTCAACAGATAGGGCTGGCTATGTCTTTGGAAAGTCTTAATATTGATGTTTGTTGTCTATCCGAGACCCGTATTCAAGACTCTAGCGAAGTACTACAAATTCGCTCTACATCTGTCACTTCAAAAAGCTTGTTTTACGTGCGCTTATCCGGGGACCCTGTGGCATCTTCGTCTGGTCTTGCTGGCGTTGGTGTCGCACTAAGCGCTAGAGCTGAGGCAGCACTAGTCGATTGGATCCCCATTAACAGTCGGTTATGTGCTGTTAGATTAGAAAGTTCCATCAAAGTGAGAAGAAATCGGCGTGAGAAACGATGTCTTTTCGTCATCTCCGCCTATGCCCCGACAGATTGCAGCCCGGATGCAATCAAGGATGAGTTTTACCACCAGTTATCAGTTCTTCTCCAGAAAGTGCGTTCGACAGATATTGTAGTACTAGCCGGAGACTTGAATGCTCAGGTCGGGCGTCTAGGCACAGAAGAGAGTCGTTTAGGTGGCCGATGGGGACTCGTTGGTCGCAGGTCAGATAACGGGGACCGTCTACTGCAACTTTGCACAGACCACAACCTGTTTCTGGCTAGCACTAACTTTCGGCACAGTCATCGCCGATGTGCCACCTGGCGTCCTCCCTCTGCATCTCAAGCCTGGACTCAGATTGATCACATCGCGATCAGCTACCGCTGGCGTGGTTGTGTACAAGACTGCCGCTCCTTTTGGAGTACCTATCTGGACTCTGACCATGCCTTGGTCTGCGCCAATCTTGCCTTACTTTTCAGTGGACAACGAAGTGAACGCCATCAACGGATTGATGTTAGCAAGCTGGTTGCAACTTCTGTTGCAAGTAAGTATCGAACCGAGCTAGCCTCTAGGCTAGCTACCACTCCACCGAAAAGTATAGATGAGCATTGGTTGCAATTGCATGACGCCATGAAAATGGCGGGAACAGTCAGTTGTGGGTTTGCGAAACGTCCCGCTTTTAAGCACTGGGTTTCTTCTGGTTCCTTACAACTCATTGAAGCCCGTCGGTCTACTCCGGGTAACCGTGAGTTTGACCATAAACGAAGGATTTTACGTAAGGAAATCGGGCAAAGCTTGCGTAAGGACCGAGAAGCCTGGTGGTCGATGCGTGCTAATGAGCTGGAAGCAGCAGCTGCATCTGGTAACTACCGGAAGCTCTTCCAACTCATCCGAGCCACTGGCAGCAAGAAGTCTGGTGTGAGTGAAACAATCTGCGAGGATGATGGGATGCCAATCACTAACATCCATCGACGTCTTGGACGATGGGCAGAATTTTTCGAAGGGCAGTTCAACTGGCCTGCTGCTCCGGCAACATCGGTCAGACTGTCCTGCCCTCCATGGCCGGTGACGACTGATCCACCAAATGAGGAGGAAGTCCGCAAGGAACTCCAACTCTTGAAGCGTTACAAATCACCTGGCCCAGATGACTTACCTCCGGCTCTTTTTAAAGATGGTGGTGACTTTTTGACTAAGGAATTGACGACGTTGTTCACAAAGGTTTGGGAACTAGAGAGTGTGCCAACGTCATGGAATGAGTCGATAGTTGTCCCTATCTTTAAAAAGGGTTCACGTCGTTCCTGTAACAACTACCGGGGGATAAGTTTACTTCCGATTGCGTCCAAGCTATTGGCTTCCGTCATACTTCGTAGGTTGTTCAAAACCCGAGAAAGATTGACTCGCGAGGAGCAGGCTGGGTTTCGTTCTGGTCGAGGATGTATTGATCATATCTTCACCCTCCGCCAAATGTTAGAACACCGCCATACTTTTCAAAGGCCAACAATCGTAGTGTTCCTTGACATCAGGGCTGCCTTCGATTCGTTGGATAGGACTGTTCTCTGGGATTGTCTGTTGAAGAAGGGTGTGCCTGAGAAGTTTATTAACATCCTAAAAGCCCTGTATAAAAACACCTCAGGCAGAGTGAGGGCATACAACCACCTCTCTCCATTGTTCCATTCGAGCAGTGGGGTTAGGCAGGGTTGCCCAATCTCACCATTCCTCTTCAACTTTGCCATCGATGACATTCTGGAAACAGCTCTGATGAATGTAAGTAATGGTGGTGTGGATCTGTTGCCTGGAGAAAGACTTCTCGACCTTGAGTATGCGGACGATATTGTCTTACTGTGCGATAATGCCCAAGGCATGCAATCCGCACTTAATCAGTTGGCAATCAGTGTCCGTAGGTATGGTATGTGCTTTGCACCTTCGAAGTGCAAAGTACTTCTACAAGACTGGCAGGATTCTAATCCTGTACTCACCCTGGACGGTGAGCAGATAGACGTAGTTGAGAAGTTCGTGTATCTGGGTAGCTGCATAAGTGCTGGTGGGGGTGTGAGTGATGAGATCAATGCACGAATAGTGAAAGCCAGAGCGGCTTATGCCAATCTGGGCCACCTTTGGCGCCTTCGTGATGTTAGTCTGGCTGTAAAAGGCCGGATCTACAACGCGTCGGTGAGAGCAGTTTTGCTCTATGCTTGTGAAACCTGGCCTCTCCGAGTTGAGGACGTTAGACGACTCTCTGTGTTCGATCATCGCTGTCTCCGAAGGATTGCTGACATTCAGTGGCAACACCATGTGAGTAATGCAGAGGTTCGGCATCGTGTGTTCGGGCACAGAGATGATAACTCAATTGGTGTCACCATCTTGAAACACCGACTTCGGTGGCTTGGACATGTTCTCCGAATGTCGTCCCAGAGAATTCCACGTCGTGCATTATTTGCCGACTCTGGGACTGGTTGGAAGAAGCGGAGAGGTGGTCAGTGCATGACATGGTGTCGTGGCATGAAAGAAAGCTGCAAAGGACTGGCTTGTGTCGGTCCTTCACGACTCCCTGGTTGGGGTCCGAGAGATGGTGCTACACAGTGGCTAGAGACGTTATCAGATATGGCTCAGAATAGAAGCCAGTGGCGATCCTGCTGTAACCTTTTACTTTCTTCATAAAAAGTGGTTGTCTTCCTTAACTGAAAGATTTCTTCTGATTGTACCTCTTCGTCATTACTCTCCTTTTCTTTTGCGTTCCTTAGTTTTTTTTTTTTTCTTTCTACTTCTCTTCGAATTCCCGTTGTTTTGTGTGGCGCATATATATTGGCGCTCTCTTGTACCAATATTTATGTGTTCAAATAAATAAATAAAATAAAATTGGATATGGAGGATTCACCTAGGGCAGTTGGAAAACCCTGATTCCAAACCATTGGTTTACATGGGCTTTAGGATACTGAGGAAACAAATGACGTATGGACCTATTGTTGGTCACCGGCTACCATGGGACTCAGCTCATAATGTTGCTTCGCTGCCTTGTGGATTAGATCTTAAGGTTAAAGGCTCGAGGAATAGCCCCCTAAGAAAACAACCTGCTTCGGTTTGAGCGACCAGGTAGTATGCTGGCTCTTATACAAATAGAATGATTTGTATGACCCACATATATTTGATGCCTCCTTGTATCAGTGTTCATGTTTTAATAAATAAATAGTGTAACAAGGCAAAATAAGTATTTTCAAAAGATACCCAAATGATAATGTTCCTTTAAAGGAGACTACTCATTAATGACTAAAAATCTAAGAAAGAGTCTGGATTAAAACCTGTCCAGACATAAACTATTCGACACAATTGTTATATCTGATTTCGTAAAGCATGTAGAGGATGCAATTATATATCATTCAGTATAGCCCTTCTTATTACTTGACGTGATTGTCTAATTATCATAGAAATACATCTAGTCTCGAGTATATTTATTTATTTTAACACATAGATATTGGTACAAGGAGGCACCAAATACATATGCGCCACACAAATCTCATTCGACATCTGTGAGGGCTGTGATACTGCCCGGGTGCCCAGACCGAGTATATGCCATTACGTGGTAGGCGATTACACGTTACTTTCCTCAACATTTACACTGCTATCGGTGACTGTTTGTGCACGGATTCAGAAAGCTCCTTTGGCTTTTGCCAACTTACTTCACCTACGGTGAAGGCCAGATATACGTCTACCAAATGAGGGACGAATACGCTGTTTAGCAGTTCGTTCTGTTCTACTTTACGGCTGCGAAACGTGGTCATCAAGAGTAGATATTCGTAAGCTACTAGTATTTGGTCACAGATGTCTTAGAAATATTGCTCGTATTTGCTGGGACCACCGGGTAAGTAATAGTGAGATTAGACGCAGGGTATTAGGGAATGATGGTAAATCAGTTGATGAGGGTGTGAATCTTCATCGACTGAGATGTTTGGGCCACGTGTTACGTATGCCCGAACGCAAATTACCACGACGTGCAATGCTAACCGGTGTTCGGGATGGTTGGGAGAAAGTTAAGGGCGGCCAATTCAAAACGTGGCATCAGTGCTTGAAGTCACTAACTTCTGGTCTGAGCCATATTGGTAGATACAGACTACTTAGTTGGGGTCCGCGTGACTACCGTGTTCAGTGGTTGGAGACTCTTGGTGACATGGTTCAGAATCGATCACAATGGCGTCGGTGTATACACTCTCTGTCTTCCATTAAACTAATAGATTAAAATCGCTTCATATCTTTCTTTCTATGAACTAGTTCTTTCTTCCTGTACTATATCTTTACATATAATCTTTTTTTAAATATTACACCATTGAGTTAACTGCTTCTGAGTCCGGTGTTCCTCTTGTTGTGCTAATGACGCATGGCAACCTGGACCGATGTATATATATGCTTGCTCCTATGTTGTAGCTAAGTGTGACTGTTTGTCCGCCACAAAATGTTCGGAAAGGTATCTAAGCATTTATATGTGCGGTATTTTCAGCATGCTGATATTATTGAGACAAAATACGTCTCAGATACCACTTAAGAATACTTCGCCAAGTAAACATAAGAATTACTTTTTCACGTTGTGGATACAACTACGTAGTCTAGGAACTATTCACATTGCAAAATAATTTGCAAAGGTTATTTGGAACAATGGATATATGACCACTTTATGTTACGCTATAGTACTAGATTTAAGCATCGAAAAGGCAGCAATACATGTCGCTGCCATCATCCAGAATTTGAAGGCAGGTGAACACAGTATGAATTCTTGTTTTAAAAATATCTAGGTACCTCAACATGCTATATTTCAGTGCGTTTACAACACTACACAAGATATTTATCCGCCGAAAGTTGGGGTACTGTACACAAGAGTCTAGTCTCTGTATTCAGAAAGATTGTAGGCTAAGATGAAAGATTTGAAAGTTTGCAATTAAAATGACCCAATTAATAGTGGAGCTTTAGTTGTCATGTGTGTACCCCTTATTACGTTAAAAGGCCAGATGTGACCTTACTATACTGTTTAGATGGATTAGTAATAATTTTGAAGTCATGTTTTTTCTGACTTTCCGTATTATCAAATCAATGACAACAAACACCCTCAGCTTTAACGACCGTTATTACCCGGGTTTATTACAAAGTATTCTATATAGACAAAGACACAGGTAAATTGTTCAGACTATAATAGCTCAAGGTATCTGACATTAATCAGACGCTGTACGTCTCCACCTCGATATGTATAAGCTCCTTTCATAAACACATAACTGGGTACTCAAAATAAACACGACATCTTATTCTGTTAGTTATATCCTAACGGCTGACTTGTACCTGGTTGCTCACTTACTCGTATACATCTGTATTATACTTATGCCTCTATGGTTATTTGCCTATCTACTAGTATTATTCTACTATTTTGCTAATCTATAAACAATCGATAGATGTTGGTTGACACCGGATATATTTTGGCACAACATAGGTTGAAATTGTCCACAACAACCTCGAATTCACTTAATTAAAAACAATTGTAAGGTATAAGAACTCCAACACAACTACTGAACATTCCAGTGTCAATGTATTTTCTATTTTAATAGATCCAGGATATTACTGTGTCGACATCAATCCAATACGATGACAAAGGTGTAGCTTTGGAGCTAATCTACTGTTGTTATTACTTTGGATAAATCGTGTTTATGTAGTCTCATCAAGATTTGAGTCTGAATTTTTTACTACAGTTTCGGTTGATTTTATTACTAAAATACATACTCAAAAATACTACTAGCCGAGTTTTCATTTCATCTTTTGATCATTAGCCACTAAAGTCAACAAGAACAATGGTGAACTTTTGAGCTTTAGGGATTTCTAAGTACTGATAATAACAACAACAAACTTACGATACTGTCATGTTGCTCCGCAAAATTAAAGGACGCGCCGCATGTGAGTACAGGGACTTCGTACTTGTTAAGAATTCACCTTGCTTTTGTGTATTTATTGCATGAAAGGAAACTGGCTTAACTTCGGCTCGAACTGTTTCGGCTAAGGTTTGGGATTTTTACAAGTCAGTTTTGTGGTATTCTATATGTTATTATTTGATGGTGACAACTATTAGGGTGATTTTATCCGCAACGCAACCATGTAAACTTAATGTATCGCACACTATCACTTGTGCGTTCAAGTAACCACAGATTTTGTCATTTCATAATGTATTTTTTATTAAAATACTAGATTATGTAGTTAATTTTTCTCTGTTTTTAATTTTTATTCGCCACGTTCGACTGCGTTACACTGTACGTCCGTTGCACGTTGAGATGATATCTCAAGTCATAGTGAGTTTATTCACATAGTTGATTGTTTCCAGATAGACTGTCAGTGCATGATTTTACTGAAGAAATGTATGTTGTACTGTAAACTGTGTTTCTATGATCAACTCCCTGTTGAAAAACTGAACCTCTTAACTCTGTCCTATCGCAGACTAAGGGGAGATCTAATATTGATGTACAGTATACTGTGAATTGACTTCGGACCTAACTTATTCTCTCTTTTTTCCCACTAGATCGGAACATCTCAGAGAACATAGCAGGCGAGTAGAAAAGCTAAGAACGAACAAAATACCCGTGGCATACAGGTTTACAAACTGAGGCATCAATACTTGGAACCTGCTGTCTGAAGCAGTGGTGTCCACAAATTCAATTGACTCTTTCAAAAGAAGACTGGACACTCACAGAAGCATACTAGAAAAGGAATAACATAAGCCATAGGCCCTCTGTCCTTACTGCAAAAAGCTGAATCTTCTGTCAATTTTTCTGTGGTTGAGTGGTGTGAGGAGTTGGATCTCTGCTGCAGTGTTAATGAGCGCCGGATCGAGTCGCAATCACATCAAAACTGTTGACAATCACTCGAGTCACACCATAACCATCAGGTGATACTGTAAATATTCTCACAGCGTTCCGTGTCTCTTGAAAACCTGGTGCAATCCACAACAAGGACCAGTGACAGTGCCTTACCTAGTCCCATTCACAGACAACATGGTCTCACAGTATGGTACTACTGTGATGTATGGCGATGTGTGATGAATTAGTTTTTGTGCATTTCGTATCAGTGGACCTTTTATGTAAATGTATTGCATGGGTGCCATCTCTGTAGCTTAACCTGTATTCAATGTTGTAAAGTGTGAACTGTGTTTGCACGTTTAGAAATTTGTTTTGCTTTTTGTTGTTGGGAGGAGAATTACGAGTGAGAGCAAGAAATTTAGTTAGACAAAGTGGTTGCTGCCGGACGACGTTATTGAATAAGTGTCTGACGTTGTTTTTAAGTAGGATCTTGACTCACCATACGAGTTACACCATAACCACCAATGTGAGTAGGGTCAGTGGAAGAATTAGGAGTGTAAATAACAAGTGTGCTGTTCAGTGTTTCGATCTGTACTGCATTACTAATGTAGGGTGTTTTCTTGGAAGGTAAACTATGTTTGCATTACAAGAATCTGGTCGAAATGATCGTGAAGTCACTGCCCGCGCATGTTGGAACCAGTGAAGTAGTTTCAAAGTTAAGCATACAATTGTAATAGGGTTTCCGAACTTGATCTACTGGGTTGGTTGAACTTTATGTTACGTATATCCTTATAATGGTGCACGAAATCCCTGCTATACCAGAATTTAAGGTGTAAAAATGGTGAGACAGCGACTTAGCTTACTGAGTAGTTATTTTAACGTTATTAGCGTGGATGATGTTCAAACACTATAGGTATTGAACCTGACAGAAATGACAAGTTTTACAATGGAAGTTGTACTATTATCTCAGTTTGGTAGAGAAGTTACTTGTTACGTATGGAGTGTCATTATAAACTGATAAATAAGTTTTGCGCATATCCTATCATTTTTCCTGTGGTTGAGTGGTGTAAGGAGTTGGATCTCTGCTGCAGTGTTAATGGGCGCTGGATCGAGTCGCAATCACATCAAAACTGTTGACAATCACTCGAGTCACACCATAACCATCAGGTGACACTGTAAATATTCTCACAGCGTTCCGTGTCTCTTGAAAACCTGGTGCAATGCACAACACCGACCAGTGACAGTGCCTTACCTAGTCCCATTCACAGACAACATGGTCTCACAGTATGGTACTACTGTGATGTATGGTGATGAGTGATTAAGTGAGACGATGAGTGAGTGAGTGAGAATGAGATGGTTTCGATCAGGTGTTGTGACTGTGTGATCTGATTCGATGTTGATAGTGCATGTGGATGTGGATGTGAATGTGCCTATGCATATGCGTGTGTGTCTGTGTGGACTGCGTATTGTATTGTGTATAGTTTTAGTAAGCCCATTGAACTATGGTATTACTTATCTACTCATTGTAATTTAGACACTTAATCTGTAGAATTATGGTCTACTATGATATTAGTACTGCTCTAATAATAGACCTAATCCTAAATTTGTAGACTCGTCATGATATAACTGCCTAATCTATAAGATCTTACGTGGAAGTCACACCATCGACTACGCCAACTCACTATATCGTATCAATTACCAATACATGATGAAGAAAGAGGTTGGGTTAGAGAAAGAACAATATATTTAATATGAATAGAGACCACGCCTGCATGGCCGAGCCATGCCACTCGATCAACTCCAGTCCATTCAATTCATTGTTCGCGCCTTCTCCATTGTTAGGTATTTCTCCGCGTTAAATATTGAATATCTATTTTCTGAGTAGTCTCGTGTACACAGCTTTGTGGATTGTGTGGCTATTGTCCAATGCCACTACACTACTCTCCCACCAGAATCAACGTGATGTTGGTTCGATACCAAATTGGATGGGATCGTCGCGCGCCGGAGGTTACCAAGGATAATAAGAATCCTCCGGGTATTGGTAAGCTGAAAGATAAATCAAAAAGAAAGCGGCAGCATCTGGTCGGGAAATACATGTAATAATTTTAAAATATCTGCCTTCATGCTTAAAACGCTTGAAATGAAAATTTGGGTGAAGATTATTTGAACTATAAAAAATGAGATTATAATAATAATAATAATAAAACGATGCGTGTTAATAACTTAACTTATAGGTAGTAATTATTTTGTGTTTAGAAATATTAAAATAATGAATATTGTAGAAATGTTAATATTGGTATTAGTTTTGGTTTAAATTATGAAATCAAATAACGATTATGCCGGTAAGTTGTCCATAAGAGTTGATTTCCAATTGCATCTGTATCAGTAGGCTAACTGAAGGAACAAAAGTATTACCATGGTAAAGAATTCCAACTAGTGTTCCAGTTAGTTTGATACGGTTTATTTAGTTACGGGGAGATTTTCTCAACCTCATTTTTACTTGACCGTGATAGAATTTGGTAATACTACTAATACACATGAATGGTTACCAAAATAAAATTTAAATACGTGAGTGATGATTATATGAATTTTGGACAGATAGCTAGGAACAAATCGTTAAACATGAGCGTATTCGTAAGAGACATGCTCTAGACTCAATGTTCTGATCTGTGGCAGACTATTTACTTGTATTTATACTTGCCGGCTGATTGGACATACAAGTTAGTTGCAAGTATGCAGTTTATCATAAGGCGGAACACGATTTAATTGAGATATAGTGGTTACAAGTTATTAAAATCAGTTAGACCTGTGTCATATTACGAAGTGATGTGGTGCTGCAAAATGTATTTAGCTAAATAAGTTTTTACAAGATGATTAATAGTGAGTGATGCTCTTGTGATTATCAGGGAGAACATAAGTTGTAACCAGGGGGAGTACACTCCCAACTCATGTCTATGATAATGGCTTGAACCTTAGTCAGTGTTGGGGTAAATTCGACATTGATGTTTTCAGTTTACAGGAGATTTGCTCGACTGCTTATACTGATTATTTGCATGCATGATTGTGTCGCTAAACCATCAATTAGACTGAAAAGGTTTTGAGATATTTATTGAATGAGCAACTGATAGAGAAACATACTGTAATCATCTGTGATGGATGAAGATACCAAGAAAACAACACCATTTAATGGTAATTATAAGTCAATTTGTTGACCGATTTCGTTAATAGTTTTATTAATTTTATCAGTCATATTACGTGATTGTCAAGTTATGACAATGCTTTATGACGATATCCTGAAACTATTAAATTTAACTAGTTATAGTGTTGATTAAGGATTAGTCAGTGGAAAAATAGGTATTGTTGCTTTAGGTGATTCGAAATCATCAGAAACTTATAACGTTAAAGAATCCGAGACGCCTAATTTAATTATAAATTTCAATTCAGAAATATTCGTTTAGTGTTAATTCTAGCAGGCTACGGAGTTTTGATTTTAAACGTTTGTTTAGCCAACAACTACCTGATGATTTAGTTATTTTACTAGTGCAGTTGACAGTACCTAAATTTTTAATATTATTATCTAAACTATGTTCGCATTTTAGGCTGCTAATATGATAAACCAATCCATAAACCCAAATACGATTAGCAACAACGACTATGATGGGTTTATTGATAAATGTTAAAGGCGATTCAGATGATTTCTAAATTTAGAAGACATGGAGATATAGTGTAACGTATGTACGGGCCAGGTTAACAAGCAGGTTGTTGACGTATATGACAATTAAAAAATAATGAACACGACCAGGCTGCTTATGAAACTTCAGGCAGGAATATGACGCGTTATAAGCCTTCCATAAGAAGTTACTGCATTTAGCTTAGTGACACTTACAAATATATGGCAAAAGCAACTGAAAAACATATACATGTTAAGTACAACAAAAAAATCATCCAGTAAAATAGTTGAACTCGCCTTGATTATTTTTGAAAATTAGATTATTCAGTGGACGACATATATAACGCCATTCGTGAGGAGTAGTAATGATCCAAAAGCATCCAGAATAAAACATACAGTATGGCAATCACTTCCAGGGTGCTTGATGCTGTTGAGGTCTTTGGGACTCGCTCTGATCAGAACAACTGAATGAATCCAGATAATTGTGTGTGCCATCTAAAATGAACTTATGATTGCAGAAAACTTATAGGTGGAACTCACCGTATGTTTTTGGAGTAGTCATCCTCGTTGCTTGGCAATGGAACTCGAGAATATGAAATTAGGCAGGCAGTGGTCAGAAGAAAAGA